ATGCGGCCATCCGAAAAGCCCTCAAGCCGTACGGTGTGGGAGTTGCTACTGGCGAGGCTGCTCAGAACAGAGTGACATTCAAGCAGCTGCTCCAAGCTGAAGCCACGGATGTATGCCAGATTGATGCTGTCCGCCTAGGAGGTGTTAACGAGTGCCTGGTAAGAGAAAGATCCGTCCAAGCGACGCTGATTCTCGTGCTAACAATCGTATCTTCATTCATAGGCTGTCATGATTATGGCTTTGAAATTCGACGTCCCTTGCGTCCCTCACAATGGAGCCATGGGTCTAACAGAGCTGACCTCGCATCTCAGCACCATTGACTACATCGCCATCAGCGGCCGCAAGTCGATGCTGGAGAATGCCGATAGCCACAGAGAGAACCTCAAGCATCCATCAAAGATCGAGAACGCACACTACGTGACACCGCTGGCACCCGGCTACTCGACGGGATACACTGATGAGGCTCTAGAAAAGTATACCTATCCTAACGGGTCTTTCTGGAGTAGCGAGATTGGCTTGGAGATTATTGCCCAGCCTACTGGAGGAGTTCTATGAACCATTTGATGTACGATTTAGATTAGTAAATGATGATTTGATCCCTTTGCACCTAAATTACAAATATACAAGAGGCTATTATTCATTGTGTTGAGTTGTCGGGTCTGGCATCTTCTGTTGCTGTTTTTTCAGTTTATACTCGAACTCTCACCAGGATGTAAGAGGCTTTATTATTTATTTACACGAGCCAGAATTCTTTGCTTCTTTTGTAGATCCTCCAATATACTCACGACTGCTTCGAGACTCGAAAATGCCCAAGGCTGGATGTTTCGGATGGCGGTTGTTTGCAATTCATCAATATCAGCGATGAGATGGCGTAGATGTGGGTTTAACGAAGCCAGTGTGAGTATGACGATGGCGCCGAGCGTTCTGGGTAAGAAAGACTTGTTAGCGGCAAAAGCGTGCAGAGTTTGATATGGAGGTGTGGCTTACGAGAGGGAGAATGTCCAAGTATATTGGCTTGGCCCGGCCAGAACCACGGATGTGCTGTGGAGGTAGCGTCGACAAGCTTCAATGCAAACGGATGCCTTTTCGAGCATGACTTCAGTGGCGTGCTCTACTCCGTGGGTGACAGTATATAGCAAGAACGGCCGGTAGATTATGTGAAGAGCGGCAAAATAGCGTATTCTCAGAACCGGTTCACGATTGTTGGACTCAGTGCCGGGAGTGCCAACATCCAGATGTGGCCTGAAGCCCTCCGGTATCGAGGCGTGCCATGTCTCAAGCTGTGAATGAAGTTCATCGCACACGGACACCATGGAAGATACGTCCTCGATGGAGTAATCGTCAACGGCTGTCAATGTTGTCGATGACAGCGTCAAGACATGCTTCTTCCTGGGATAAAGCGAGTTGTGGATGCGGTTGAGAAGTCTGCGAATAGATATCTCCGCTAGATAACATGTCGACGGCATCAGCCCAAGATTAGTGCAGCTCGGGAGACTTACTTCATCCGTGAGCTGCTGGAGGCCGCTGCGTGGAAGTTCGAGCTCAGCAAGGCGGTCGCACTCGACCAGGAAGCATGACCAGAATAAACGGATGACACTTTCTCGCGAACTCGGGGATTCCTCCCCAGCTTGGATGCTACGAACAAAAACTCAAGGTTTAGTAGTCTGTTCGTCTTTATATAAATCGGTAGAGGTTCGTCTTACCCTGAAAGTCTGAACTGGAGGATGGATGTGGCGGAATAGATGAGCCGCCAACTCTGCAATGGGCGTACGATGTAGGCAAAATAGACGCTTGCGAGGACCAGCGCCTGTGGCAATAACAGGCTCGAGGAGAATGACCACGACGACTGTAATATGAGGGTTGGCAAAGCATGTTGCATGAATGACATGCCTGGTGGCGAGGAGCTGAACTGTTCAGTGTCGGGGTGTGAGGAAGCCACTGTTGCGAGGGCAAAGATGACCATGCAGAGAGCCGAGCCTATGCCCGAGTCCGGGCCGGTGTCCCAGAACGACATGTAGACGGCCTGAAACTCTTCACGATCGAGGATCGGATGGTTGTGGTGAGTGGAGGAGAAGAACTGGGATACCAACTCGTCTGCCACCTCGCGGGTGATCTCGATATCTGGCCGTGATCCCAGCAGGTCATCAAACGAGAGCTCAGGTGGCAATGGATGGCTCGACTCGAGCAGGAAGAACAAATCAGACGGGTACTCCCCAATGAGAGCTTTCATAGCCGGCAGGCCTAGGAGGTAGCTAGATGAGGTCTTGTGCTTCACGGGAATCGTCAAGGGTGGAAGGTTTGCTGGCATGGGCATGGCTGCCTGGGACGGGGGGCTGAAGGACCAAGAGTCGAAGGTGGCTTCAGCTTGCATCCCTCGGATCGGCACACCCGGTTGGCTTTGAGGAGATGTTTCGTTATGATTCTGGAACTGGGATGGGGCAGGCCTCGATTCTGCCGACAGTGAAGCGATGTGCTCCGACTGGTTTTCCAAAATCGCCTCAATGTCCCGCAGCCGGTTCAATATCTCGCGCGTGCCGCCGGTTGTGTCTATTCTGTGGCAGGGAAGAGAGGGATTAAGACGGGAGCAAGAGGGAGGATGAAGGAGCAGATTACCGTACCTTTGTGAAGGCTGATGGTCATAGTGGCAGTCAATGTCCATCTCGGAGCAATTGGAGCAAGTCGGTTTTGCAGCGTCGCATCGCCGCTTTCTGTCAGTAGTCAGGGACACTGGGGCGATTCTGGAATACATAGAGGACATACCGGCTCCTGCAGAACTGGCAGGCCAATGCGACTCGTTTACGGTAGAAACTCATGGCTTGATGACGCCTATTCTGCCGTGGCACCACACGATATTGGGGATTGGGGACGATGCTACTCCGTACTTTTCAGTTCACGATCCCACACTGCCCCCGGAGTCACGAGCCAAGGAATGATTGCGGAGAAGAGAAGGCCCTAAACTAACTCCATCCTCCATCATTATGCGCTAAAACAGACGTTAGTTCCGGTGGAATCAGGTGATCCCCAGTCCAGCCCATCCATGGCAGTGTTACCGGACTACTGGGTCCACTAGCACCGTCACAATCCCTGCTGCTCGTTCTGTCTTTGAATAACGAGGAGTCATTGATCAGTTCATATCAACTTGTAGGGCTTTGTTATGCCATTGTTGGGCTGTTAGTGATAAGTCCTATATAAATCTGGATAGCATCATATGACGGTACGCAGAGAGCTTCGATGTCTGATGGATGACTCTCTTTGGGTCTTCATCAGGCGTTACAGTTTCTGCGGGACCAATGGCTTCAGGGAATTTAAGATCGCAAAAATGTGCCTTTAAAATATTAAGCTCGAAGATCCGAGGTGAGTTTCCTAGATTTTTCTTGGAGTATAATAGTACTGCTCTAGATTGTTTAAGCTATGTAAAGACGCAGGCATGTATAGAATGTAAATGCATTTGAGAATTATCCTAGATTAAAATTCAACTCTAGTTTATTCTAGCTTTTATCTAAAGCTACAAATCGGAAATGGCAGTCTGCTCCGCAATTCATTCGGAGGAGCCTGAGCAGCAACCTTGGCTTGTTGCCTGGTTTCGCTTATCTGCTTGGGATGAATGCTGAGATTCAAAGTGAACTGTCTCTGTTAATTTTCTATTAATACACTTCGCATAGCCAAAGCTGACGGACCAAATGGGCAAAGAAACACGGCACACCAGATACTCTTCAGGTGCACAGCCACTATGGTAATTTGACACTTATTTATATTGTTTACAAGATATAACCCTGTGTCGTTTAAAAGGCACTATAGACAATAATAATATTTACCATTGCTCTTGAGAATTCTGCATGCAATTGGTCAGCCACCATGAACCATATTAGCCGCTCACTGATGCGCCGTGTCTGAAACGAGGGGAAACACGTTTCGCCCACCCTGATGCAGCTGAAACACTACACAAATGTGCACACAACCGCGCAGCGAGAGTCGCAACTAATGACGTAGAGTTCCATGTTTATTTCGGGTGGCTCGGGCCTTTGAGCTGGGGTTTTATGTTTGACCCGCTGGGCTTGGATGAGATCTGATTCGCGCCTGGTTGGGCTGCAAGGTTGAAACTGTTCGGCAATAGGTCAATCAATCTCACCCACGCCTTACGGGAGGATTGCGAACCAGAAGGCATGAGGCTGGGACAGCTGCAGCCCAACTGGTGGTTTGGTTGCCGCCCGTTTTTAGTAACTGCGGAAAAGGGGCTGGTGCAGTGAGCGATCCGCCTGTAATTATTACATGCATGTTGGGTGAACACGTCAATCCCAATACATCAGTCTCTCTGGATCATGCAGAGCCCTGCTACCCATCGCGGCGGCAAGCAGCGAACTGTGAACTGTACGCAAGGGGAGTATTTGGGGTGTCATTTCCATCCAATCGATGTGCTGTCAGCATCTTGAGACTGCGTCAGTTGAGCCTGTTCGTTTGGCTTGCGCCCTCTATGATCACCATCGTAACCGCCAAGCCTAGTGAAGGAGAAATTCCCAGGAGCCTCGCCGCGATGATGGAGAGCATAAATACACCCCCAATATCCCCCCTCAATGATTGTTCTCATTCCATCCCTCATTCAGCGCGTCTACTTCGATAGGATAGGGCCAGTTTCCTTCTGTTCTATTCATGTCATTTCATTGAGTACTCCCTCCTTTTGTCGCTTTCAACTTTCTTCAATTTATTTTGGCTTTTGTCTTTTGTCTGTTCATACCTTGCCCTCGTTTAATATTCCTTCTCAGCCCTTTTCAGTCATTACTTCCACGGTATTGTCTCATAATAATGTTGCAACCGCCATTTGACCCTCAGGGTTTCAGTCAGTACTGTCCCAATTGCCGTTCTGGATCATCAACCCCCTGGGCATTCGCACTCGCTAACCAATACTGATTCGTGTAGTTAATCAAGGACAACCTCACCTGAATAATATACACCCAAATAATATAATCGCATTCGCCCCCCAGGCGGATTTCACTGTCGTCGACATGGCTGGTACATTCGCGGCTCCTCTACCGAGGAACCCTCGCCGAAGGCCGGGACGAGCATCTCGGCCCGGGAGTGACGAGACAGGACAAGCAGAAGGTCAATTTGCCTGCCACTTTTACAAGTTCAATCCTGTCATGTACGATAAATGCAAAAAGTGCAGTTTCACCAGACCGTCCGACGTCAGGCAGCACATCGTCCGATGCCACTCTCTGGTTTCCCCCTACTGCGTTAGGTGCTGGAAGGAGTTCTCAGGCCAGCAAGAATATTCTGAACACGTCGCCCAGGGCCATTGCCAGGTCCGGCCGAGGCCTGAGAAGCTCGTCCGTGAGGAACTTGACAGGTTGGGAGCTTGCCGTAGGGAGGACCATAGTAAGGAGAAATGGTTTGGCATCTGGAATTTACTGTTCCATGGACATCCCCGGCCTGACTCCCCTTATCTCCCATCCTGCATCTTCGAAGAGGGTCTGACCCTCATTCAGCCTTTCGTCCAGGATCTTCTGCATCAGCATGGCGGCACCGCTGCGGCAGGTCCGGTACCAGGAAACATCCTCCACATTGCCTATCAAACCTACTGCCATGGCCTTCCCATGTCCCGGCACCCACCATCTTTGAACAACCAGGGCTTCCCTTACCAGACGCTACCTCCTCATCTGCTCCCCAATAACAACGGTCTTTACGGCGAAACAAATAGACTCGAACACGGGTCAGGATTTAATTATTACCCTCCGCAATTTTAATGTCACAGTGGGCTTTGATGTGATCTCAAGGCCCATAACCCCAGCACGGCCACAATGTCCGCCGCTGGTTAACCATGAGTGTCGATGAGAAGGCGTCGCGGTGCATCTTCAATCAACGACAAGGAGATCGTTTGGGCAGGCCCGTTAATGATCAGTGAGATGCAACTGGATGAAAGTACGAGGAATCGAATGAGGAGGAGTTTCTGATATAATACTCCGGAATGATTCATGACGCTGACCAAGTCTAATGAGTAGTCTTGGTCGTTGTACCCTGGAGGAACACCAAGCACTTTATGGCATGAAAGCTGGTCTTTCTTGAGGATTAATTGTTAGAAAATTAGAAGGGGAAAATAGTTAGGGAGACATATGGGCACTGGATGTCCAAACTGAATAAATATTCAAGTTAGATGTTGCTGCCATCACTCCAGGTCATGATCTAATCTGAATCAGGATTGTCAAAGAGTGGCGCTCCCCTCACCGACTGGTGTTACGATGGAAAGTAGTGGAAGGGAAACAAGTTATCCAGCATTCTTGTGTTTGATTTATGATAAGAGATATGGCAGATTGACTAGCTACAGGACGCCTCATGCTCGGATCAAGTCGTACCCATATCCATCTCTATCCAAATACGTTGTCTACTAGGCTGTTTGTTTTCCACAACGCCCGAAAGGGAGAACCATGGATACTTCCAGATTTGGTGCATAGGCTCACTCATCCCTGTACTCCATGTGAGTAGGTTGTTTTCACACAATGAACTTCGGGTTTCGTACTTACTATGAGGATGAGAATTGTCCTCCAGTCCCAATTAACCAGTACCCCTGAGAAGGAGTGCCGTTGCCGTAGTCTTGTTGGGTGCCCGCTCCTTGAGTACCAGAATTGCCTCCTTGGGTGGCATTGTTGGAACCTCCAGTGGAAGAGCCACCAGCATTGGCTCGAGTGCTACTCGGGGGGTCGGCTGCGGAGAGAGAGGGGAGTGCCTCATTTCCGTTGATCGTGTACTCTTGGATGAACGGCATGTTGAAGGAAGCTTTGGTTTGTTTTTGAGTGTGCAATAGCGATCTTCTAAAAGACGGGGAAGTTGTGATATTTATGGAGGGGGCTGAAGAGGACTGAGAGAGCTGAGAGGACTGAGGGAGCTGAGAGGACTGAGGGAGCTGAGAGGACTGAGAGAGCTGAGAGGACTGAGAGAGCTGAAGAGGACTGAGGGCATTCCGGAGAGAAACTCCTGTATTCTTTATACTTGTAGATTTCCAGTTTAAGCTACGTGTTACGGGATGTCTATTCTGAAAATACACCTACGTGGTAAAATGTCCAAAATACGGGACACTCAGTCTTCTGCCTCGTGCAATCTGGTTTTGTCACGGCTGCCTGTCCAAAGTCTTTCGACGTGATAATCATTGAAGTGAGGCTAATTGAACCAGCCAAGACCTTCACTAATAGGCTTCACGAGAAACGCACACGGTTTCAAGTGATAGCTTGCCCAAAGCCTGATTTCAATGAATGCCATTTGGGGAGCTCGGAGCTCGTGTGATTGGGCGCTCGCCGATCAGGCTGTCCAAAGTCTGGCCAAAATCTTGCCCCACAGCCTCGAGGCTCAGTGGAATAACCCGGTTCTGGTAGATCTCTGCTGACGTGAATTTCGCAGATAGCCTTTGCAAGATTTGCTTTAGATTGGGTAGAGATGGGCGAGGTTATTGTAATCACGGCATCTAGATTTGGGACGATGGGCATTTTCCTCTGGAACCGCTATAACAAAACCCGAGATTACTTCGCTGGCTTAGTGCGACCTGCGCGTTATGGTTGTTGATACTGCTACTTCTAAATGGAAGGCTGGACTGTTGATTGCAGGTCTACCACTAGCCAATCCTGTGTTCTTGTCACAGAAGATTACATCGTCTTTTTCTCTCTCTTTTTTCCTCATTATTTTTCTTCCTAAGAAGCGCTAGATTTTCTGGAATTCGTATTTCAAACATGTGGGTGACGGTACAGCCACAGATGTGCCAGTATCAAATGTTTGGACAAAATCGCAAATCGCCATTGAAATACGTGAGCGACCAGATCGGGGCCCCATTTTGGACGCAGGGGCGGCTATGAGCCAGTAGATTTTGGACGTACTCCTGGTTCTTCCATTTGTTAGGCGCTGAAATTGGATTGGGGCCCTACGACACTGTTGTGTCAGAGCGAAGCGTTGGGTGCAAATCAGGTCCCGATTCGCTGTGAGGCAGACGTACCAAGCCCCTGAGACTGCCTTGGCGCGCGCGCTGGACAGCTGAAATGTGCAGAGAGAGGCAGCAAATTATGCAGTGAAATGATGGTTGTTTGGGCGGAGGAAAAGTCTGATGCCCTGTCATGCCACCACTCTAGGCTTAGGTAGTCTTCGTTTTCTATCGACTGTCACTTGCTATTGGGCTCTGCCACATGATTTAACACGCATAGGGCGAGGCGGAGAGTCGTCCAATTTCTGTACATCAGGAGGAAAAGATATTGGCCAGCTATCAGCCCGGCGTTGGAAGCGCGCCCGTTTCTGCCAAGTAAGCAAGCAAATGCCCACCGGGGAGCTCCTACAAATTATGAAACGGTCTTACCCAGTTTCTGATTGCATAATTTCACGCGGGTCTAGGGTTGGGATAGGTAAGATGTTGTTTTCTGACAAGTTACATTTCAGGTTGGCTCGACTGGCTCTTCACATGTTCGGTCCCTATCAATAATCTGCGATCGTATCACAGTAAACAACAATCGATATATTAGCCCAAGAGACTCAAATATGTGAGCGCACTGCGGATGCTACTTGGGAGCATCTACCTCCTTACGCTTATCAACGGCAAAAGCAAAGGCACAGGCTTCCGATGACAAGTAACACAAAACCCCTATGAGACGCCAAGACGATATTTTTTTTTCAGCTCCCACTCCCCAGCCACTCATAAACACCCCGATATGCAGCCGGTGCATTGTGGCGTCGGTAAGCACGGGATCTTTTGTCTCCTCGCCCGGTTTCACTCACCGACCGAGTCTTGTGTCTTCGCCTCACTTTGCTTTGGAGTGGCCAAAGTCTACGAAAAAAAGCGATCCCCGTATAGTCGTCGATCATCAGTGCCCCCTATTCCTGTACGGGCGGTCTTGGCCGGGGTTCTACAGGGAAAGGGGGCGAGAGCCGTCATCCCGGTTATCGTGCGTAGCAGTGAGAAAAAAAAATCAATCCAAAAATGAACGTAGCATTGTGTCACCTATGTAGGTTTTTAGCCCATCCGCTCGGTCAGAATGGCCTTGTTGGGCCCTGCCCGCATCGGTCGCGGCCTCCCACAATGCAAAAACAAAAGGAAATTCCAAAAATCAAAATCCCAGCAGAGGAGGGAAAACCAGCAATCCATTTCTACTCCAGCAAGTACAGTCTTTTCCGGGTCTCCGCGACGAGGGCCTCGAGCCCCCGGAGGTCCTCCTCATAGGTTTCCTTTTCGCGGCTCAGCTTGTGCACCACGTTGTAATACCGAGGCCGTGGCCCAGGTGCTGACGGTGATGGATTATTGTCACCAAATTCCATCGGTCCCTGGTTGGCGATCCAGCCGTCGCACCAGCCCGTGTCGAACGCGCTGTATCGGGCAGCATGGGGCTTGTCGTTCTTCATCAGGTCGGGCCTGCGCAGGAATGTCTCGTAGTCCTCATTTTCCGGTATGTACATGTAGTCAAACCGGAAATCCGTCAGGGCGGGCAGCTCCTCCCGGATCGAATTGAACACGTCTTCCCATGTTCCGTTGAAAGTGAAGACTTCATCGTCGTCGTCGTCGCCGAATCCAAACGATCCCTTGGGCAACTGCACCCAACCGGTATTGTCGATCCCCCACTGCTGCCTCAACTTGTTGTTGAAGCGAAAGTATGAGCCGATAAAACACCGGTCCAAGCGCAGGGTTTGAATGCCCTTGTTCCTCAATACCCAATCGAACTGGTTGGGGTACGCAATCCCGTATGCGCCCAGATGAAGGACGCGCAGGTGGGGGAAGTAGAGGTCGCTGGTGTCGAAGATGGCCGGCATAACTCCCCAGCACACCTGGAACATGAGAGTGAGGGAGGTGAGCTGGCCTGCAATGGGCGCTATCCAGTGATTCCGTAGATGTGGCTCGAAGCCCAGGCGCTCGGGACGATGGAGGTCGAGCATCATCTCGCTGTCCAGGGAGTTGCGCTCCTCGCCCACCACGAGGTGCAGGCTGGTGAGCTCTCGCATGACCGATTGGAACGCGTCAGTGGAGGTCAAGTCGGGAAGGATCAGGTTCTGAAGATTCTCAATGGTGAGCGAGCGGATTGGACTGGCGTTGGGTGATTCGACCATACGCCGCTTGAGCACGTGGAAGAAGTGGAAGAGGTTGAGGATGCGTGTCGATTCGGTCTCAACATCTTCCTCGTAGTACAAGTCCTCGTGAGTTCGGCACGTCTTGGTGTAGTGGAATGAAACGGCCGTGAGATTCTTGAGGTCAATGATGCGAGTGAGTGCATCTGTATAGGCGGGATACACTCCCTGTTTCTGGTAGATGACCCAGAACTCATTGCGTGTCTTGAACGGGACGGGAGAGCTGTCGATGTGCACTCTTTTGGTACACTGCTTGACAACGTCCATGTCCATCAGTTCATTCCACCTCTCGAGCCATTTGGGCTCATGGCGTAGATGCAGAGCGTGGAAGAGGTGCCGCGAGGCCAGGGAGTTCCACTGGCGGCACACGAGGCGAGCATCGGCAATGTAGATGCAGTTTTCGCCGCCGGGTGCATCCCACTGATCGTCGTGTTCAAAGAGATGGCGGATGATCGTGTCGATCATCTCGATTGGCATGTCCTTGAGCTCCATGACGGCGAAGTGTTGCTGCGGACAGTCCAGCCTGGGAGCGGCCGGGCCTGAGATCCATCAACAAAGTTAGATGCAACTTCTAAGATGCATTAGTTTGCTGACTGCCGTTCCCAGAGCGGGGTTTTTATTTTTCGGATCGCTTTATTTTCGTGCATGCATGGATGACCCCCTGGTCGATAAGCTCGCACCAACAACGCCTCTTGATTATTACTTCGACAACTGACTCGGTGTCTCACTCTGCCGAATTTCCCATCCTCGTATCTCATCTCATGCACCACTGGCATGATCCCCGTTGCACCGAGCCCGACGTGCGGGTAGCATCGGGCAGCTCGACGCCACGCTGCCATGCTTGTGGTGCTGCTCCAGACATTGCCGCGCTCGTCGCCAGTCGTGCCATGACTAGTTCGACGCCGACGGTGCCGGCTGAGAAGCGGATTGGCGAGCTGGACCTGTGGTGGCCGCGCGTAGTTCCGTACTCACGGCCAACTGATGCCCTACTCGCTTCCGAGGCCCAAAACCGCGACCCCCCTGACCAGGGTCGGGTCGCCATGCTGCTGCCAGACGCGGACTTGTTTCCAGAAAGAAGCACGCCGTACGCTGCGACTCTTCGCCCCAACGAGTTCCGATTGATCAGTCTCCCGGCGGTCGATGAGTACGACAGCCCCGTCCACCTGACGCTCGAAGTGTACGACCTCGATGACTGTCCCGAGTACGAGACGGCGTCGTACACGTGGGCTGGCGAGGACGAGGACGGCGCGCTGTGCAAGCCTGTCTACGTCGGCCCATTCTGGCACGTCCTTTTGCAGACGAGAAACTGCTGGGAGATGCTGCGCTCTGCACGGCCATGGCGAGGAACGCGCATGATCTGGGTCGATGCCATCTGCATCAACCAGGGCAACATCCCGGAACGTAGCAGCCAAGTAGCAAACATGGGCCGCCTGTATCTGAACTGCAGCAGGACTGTCGTCTATCTCGGGCCCGACGTGGTCTCCCCGATGCACGGCAAACACCCCCGTCGACATAGGCTGCATGAGCTTGCAACCGGCGCTGTGAAGCCACGCTTTGTCGACAGTTCCGGAACACCCAAGGCGCCTCCACCGCATCAGCTGGGAGATCTTCTCGGGCGCCGGTACTTCTCTCGGATCTGGGTCATCCAGGAACTCCTGCTCTCTCAGCGCGTCTCGATCCGCGTGGGTGATGTGGATTTCTGGGCTGACCCGGCCATGGCAACTTACCTCGAGGCAAGTTTACCTGGCTGGAATTGGGCCAATACGGCGGCCGCGTGGGTGCAACACATGGCGAAGGGAACTTTGGGTATCAAGAGCCTCCAGGAACTGCTGAGATTGACCTCGCTATCTCAGGCGACGGACCCGAGAGACCGTCTTTTCGGATTGCTCGGGATTCTCCCTGATCTCTCAGCGAAGGAGGTGGGTGGTGCTTCATCAAGGTCTGGTGATTCGTCGCTGCCCCTATGGGGTCTTCACGCGGACTACTCACTGTCATATCAACACGTATTCATCGGCCTCTTTGGCTACTGTCTCATCAACTTGAGACAGCCAACCATCCTTAACCATGCTTGGGGTCCTGGGTCACATGGAGATAAATATCCGACCTGGGTTCCAGACTGGAGATCACAACAGACGTGGGAACGATTATTCTTACATCCACAAGCGAATAGACAGCGCTTTTATCAAATTACCCAAACTCTTAATGTCGGTGAAGACGGCCAGGTAATGCCGGAACTGATCACGTCGCCTGTTGACTTGTATGACCTAGTTGGTCCCGGCAGTGAACACATCATGGCAAAGCATTTATGGTATCATGATGCGCAGATAAATGCTTCTACTGGTGCATTGAGTATCAGGCTAACTCAGTATATGGATCTGTCGGGACCAATTTTCCACATAACAGATCTAGATGAATTTGGATTGTTCGCAATGCGGAGGAAGCGGTTCACTGTGTTCTTGCTCTGCAAAAGAAGACTCGACAAGCTTATATCAACCTCAAGTTCTTGCCAACTTTTCGTACTTAATGTGGATGACCGGACTCTCATGTATCTCGTTCTTCAACGCTCATTTGTGGGGGGTCGCGACACCTACAGCCTTGTCTCAACCTGTCCCCAGGTGTTGGTCCAGATGCCCTCCCATCGAAGCCATAACGAGCTGGCAATACTGCGATCTCTCACACTGGCAGACGTGCAATACAGCATATTCGACCAGCTTCAGGAAGTCTGGAAAATACTCCACGGTCTATCTTTCGATAAGTATGACCCCGGATTCCAAGAGTATCTTGAGCTGCAGCGCCTTTTCCCCGATGTGAGATCAGGTCGCCAAATCACATCTACTCTTCGCGCTCTCTACATTGTTCTCCATTCTGATATCAAGAATGTGAGCGAGATAGCCAGGCTGTCCATGTTTGAGAGCGCGTACGCGGGAGACATCAGCCGCAAATTATCCCCGCGCGTAGAAGGCGAGAACTTGATCATATCCTTTCCCACTACGTGGAGAGACATATGCGGCCTGTACTTCCATGACAGGCGATTTGATAGACCCCGCGCCACATATTGGTGGTCGTACCGCTTCCGAGGCCATGATGTCTGGATGCCTGCCCCGATTCCATACGAAACATATACAAGGATCCTCGAGTCAAGAAGAGACCAGTGCATCGAGGTGCGACTGCCGATATCCAGGGCCCTCTTCATTCTTGCCCTGTCGCCCGGGGTGAAGGCCCTGATGCATGCTGTCAAGAACGCGGCCAAGTTGACTGGGTTAAACGATGTTCATGTGTGGGATATGCTGGAAGAGCTGGAGCGAAAAAGCAGAGTCTCGACTGAGTTGTCGCAGCCTAATCATCACGCCAAAGTTGACGTACCAAAATCTCCAGATTCAGTACAAGAGAAGCTCGAACAGAGTCGCTTCATTGGGTGCGTATATGAGAAACATATTACCCCAGATATCACATTCCGTCATCTTAGGGATGAGTTGGGGATGGATGGCAGCACCAGGCGGATAACCATCGAGTGATCAAGCTCTCTAAAGCGAGAGGAATTGCACCTGATTTTGCAGGAGAGGTCATCCCCATCCAAGTAAGAGGCGAGGTAGCTCCGGTCCTGTTCGCAGGAACAGCGGTTGAATGGCTTATCGTCCCAACGCTGGAGCTTGCGACAGGGGCATTTTAATAAATACGACCAGGTCAGGCATGCGGTGAGATCATTTACCGGCGTTTATGAAACCAAATTTGGACAACATCCTTCTTGGAACCCCATCCCGGCCGTCGAGTGGACATACGGCGAAAGCGTGACTGATGAAGGATACAGGCCAGCTCTTGGTCGTATGCTCACCCATGGAGAGTGGTTCAGAAGTCAACTGGTACTGAGCTGCGAGGAGGCTTTGACAATATACATATTGGCTCTGACACTGTTGACTACCAAGATACTCATGTCGATCCACCGGCAACTTTTGGCAGTAGCTATGCAGCCACGCAACAAGCCGTCTATGCTGGCGTTCCGGATTACACAGTACCAATCGAGCCAAGAGCACACTACTCCCGGATAGCAAAGCAAGATAAAGAGCTTCCAGTTACCATTGGTATCATCGCAGCGCCCAATTGTGAGGATATACCGGCAGATTTGGTAGTAGACATGAGTGAGCTCAACGAGGTCTCTAGCTTCGTAAACTGGAAAACGTTCCATTAAAAAGAGACTTTTAGTTACTATTCTGGCCCTAGAAATCTAAATATAACACCCTCCACACCAGTCTAAACAAGTCCACACTCAGCATGGATATCAAAGGAAATATAGCATACATCCAACAGTCTATTCCGTTTCGCAATTATCCCGTTTTAGACCTCTGGCTGACTCTGCTCCCCCTCGTCTCTCCAACTGCTAGCAAGCTTCCACTGCACGCCCAAGCCTAATAGAGCGAGAACCTGTGCAACAGCGCAGATCAGAAATGCCCACCCGACGCCCACCCCATTCACCATGGGCATCGTGAAACTCGTCCCACCTGCGGCAAAAAGGCACCTAGCAAGATTCAAACTGGCGCTGGCTGCGGCGCTCGTATCGGGGAAGATGTCAACGAGGTAAGTCATGATAACAGACTGGGTCGCTATCGCGGTCCAGCCTGTGATAAAGGTCGAGATGATGGGAACGGCAATGTGGACTTTGTCTGAGTAGTTGATCGTCCAGCCGAAGAGAATAATAGATAAGGACTGGATGAAGGAAAATACAGGCACCAGCCGAAGGCGCGCCTTCTCGAGAGGGAAGGCCTCCTTTGGGGACCCGGTAGATCCTTCCATCCGGCTTTCGTACGACGCCTTTACTCGACGATAGTCAGAGTCGAGAATCTTGCCAGTTACCAACGTTCCCAGTATGCATCCAACGCCGTTGGCAATGAACGTGAGGCCAATCTGTGTGTCATTGAGGCCATAGCGCTCCGAGAAGAGCGATGACATGGCGGTAATGCTCATCTGCCACACAGCATAATGGATAGCGAGGAAGAATATGAATGGGGCCGCCAGCTTGCTGAAGAGGATTTTAAACGGCCCGGCAAGGTCGATGCCCTTCTGGGGAGGAAGTGTAGATGTAGCGTTCCATCGCACCTTGGTAGTCTTCTGGTAGAACCTAAGGGGATACCGCGTGAAAACGCCCTCTGGCGTCAGCGTCCCGGGCCCAACCTTTGACCTCAATGTTTCCGGTAGAAGGAGGATCAGAAAGACGAGGAACACGCCACAGTAGATGGTCAGAAACCAGAAGATGGATCTCCAGCCCATCGAACCGGCCAGCGCGCCGCCAATGACGGGTCCGATAGCTACAGGAGCAAGGAGCCCGGCCTGGAATATGCCCATGTAGCCGCCGCGCTCAGCCCTCGTGGTGATATCCCCGATGACGCCGGAGCCGATCGCGATGGTACTCGCACTTCCGGTGCTCTGCAGACACCGCAGGACAAGGAGTGTGGCATAGTTGCGCGACAGGGCGAGACCGATGCAGGCCCCGAGAAAGATGATGAAGGTGCCCACGTAGGCTGTGCGGCGGCCTCTGACATCGGATATAGGGCCCCAAAGACTAGGAGCCAGAGCTTGGAAGATGAGATATGTGGTGACAGTAAGATTGATTAATTCGATTGAAACGTCCAAGTCGCGAGCTATGGTTGGCAGGGCAGGGAAGTAAATGTTGGATGCGAAGCCGGAGACTAGACAGATGATTAGCAGTGATCGATAATTATGGTCGCCTGGGCAAAGGTGCTCACATGTAGCAGCAGTTGAAACCAACAACACGATCAAGGCCTTTTGACGATTGTCAAACACGCTGTAAGGTTCCTCATCCTGCGGTGTGGCTTCAGCCGTGGTAGGAATATCTTCATTTCCCGGGGTGCTGGTCATTGTTGAAGGTCAACGTCGAGAGCTCAATTGTGCAGGCTACCATGAGTATAGTGAGGCACCTCGTCTTGTGTTGTATGATCTTGGAGGAAAGACCAATATTTAAAATACTATTTTCAACTTGGGAGGAAATGAGGGTGTTCGGAGCTCAGAAGCGGGTCGTCGGAGTTGAGATGGACCGGCTCGGGGTTGAGCTTTAGTGGTCCAGCCATATCTCCTTCATAAATTAATATTCCAGACTACCTCAGTTACATCATTCTATGTTATCCATGGAATTTCCCTCTCGACAATGTCTGAGACAAGGCTCCTTCCACATGCTATCGACTTCGGCGGCCACTATGCCGTTCTGAACCTCGATTTCATGACTATTTTAATCCATAACGTTCAAAAAGATACCCAGGGCGAGAAGTTCATATCAAGTTGCACTCGGTGGTGCGAGGCTGTACACGGGAAGTCACCGAGGCCCATCACCATTTTCACCAGCCTTACGTTCTCGCAACCATCATGCCCTGAGCTGACTAAAGGTTCGCCGTTTTCAAAGCTCCTTGATAGTTTTGGCCCCGAAAAATTCGCCAAAGGACGCCCCGAGGTTGAGATTCATCCAAACTTCAAAGTGGACGAGAACGATATTGTTCTGGCGAAGACAAGGTGGAGCGCTACCTCGGGAAATGGCCTTGAGCAGTTACTGAAGGCACAAAGCATTAATACCGCGATCATTGTAAGCAAAATCATGATTTTCCCTTTCCTCTCAGGGAGGTCTGACAATTCTCTGCAGTCAGGTATCACCCTTTCCGGTGTTGTAATGTCCACCATCTATCAACTGTTCGACTTGGATATACAGATCTATGTCATCCGAGACAATGTCATCGAACTGCCTCTGGAGGATAATGGAGCGTTTTCCAAAGTTATGCTGGATATGCTGTTACCTAAAATGAACCTACGGGTGATCAGCCTCGAAGAAGCATTGAGCGCATTGGACCGATGCTAGGTGCATCAAAGCCTCGAGCGAGCCCATTTTGTAGCGTTTAAATGTGACTGATCGGTCATTTAGTGGGTTCTTGAATCAAATTCGGACAACAAGTTCGTATTGTTAAGTCCCATGAGTAGCACTTGTGATTGCATAGATCGTTGTGCCGAACTCATCCATATCCTCAAGCCATTGATCTACCCTCTCCTGGCGAACAGCAATATCCAAGTCATTAAATTCCGCTGGGATCGGCCAAAGCTCATTTATCTCTAGGCCGCCCTCGCTCCAACGGACGAGGAAAGAATTGTACGCCGTCACCCATTCCCGTCGGGTCCCAGCCTGCCATAAGGACTTGCCTCCCGGTGCGAGGAGCCCACGCAGCTCAATTCCGAGAAAGGTTGGGGCCCCATCCTGCGAGGCAAGCATACTATCGAATAGATACATTGTGTAGAGCGTTCGACGTTTTGCCTCGGCCAGTATCCAACCTTCCCAGCGTGGGCGGCTATGTTGCTGCTCCTCTTTACAAACGAGGCCTATCTTAGCAGCCGAGCATGCCAGCACCTGTAGGTTCATCGCAGCCTCTCTGCAGAAAGGCTTCGACTCCTGACCAAGCGAGAAGAATATCACCATGGTGTAGACTAGATATGCCTGGAAAGCCTGCAGGACACCGCTATCGGTATATGTTGTGTGCAGCTCAAAAATACGAGCCATCTCTCTTTTCAGTACTTCAGCAGCCACGTTTTCGCTTCCGGGAACTGGCTTGTCAAAGAGCCGCACCAGCGTGAGACATGTCGACAATGGATGGCAGTCCTGGCCGTCCGCCACCTGTAAGGGATGGATGAAGGGCGGTGGGCAACTGCCACGGATAGATATTCCGGCGTACGATTTGAGCATGCGGTATATGAAGCCAGTCGTATTGGGCGAATAGTTCTTTGCCTGTTGTCCAGGCACCGGGATGTAATTGTTAAGCCAACGATTTTGGATCTCGTCTGCCTGGATTGGACAGATGAGCTCGACATCCGAGAAGTTGAGGAAACTCTCAGCGACTGGTAAGATATTGTGCTGTCTGGTTGGAAAGTGCTGGCTTGAAGTCGTGCCCATTACGTGTGAATGGGAGGGACTGGAGACGTCATCTCTGCAGTCAGACCCTGTGAGAGGAGCTGGAGACAAGAGGCTGCTATCTACAACCATTTGGGAAGCTGTATCGGAGAAATTCTGTGTATCATCATCCCCTTGGCTGCTGCTTGTCGCTGTGTCTGGCTGAAGATAGATGCAGTCCAGCTTGCGTGAAGCACAGCGGCTGCAAGCGCCGGGTCTGCGGTCACATCGCGCTTTCGAGATATTGCATTGGCGACATGATTTCTGTCGGGAGTTCGAGTAACGTGACCCTCTCATGATCTAAGTCGCTCAAGATACAGACACCCTGAGGACTGCGGGTAGTTGTTTCGGAGGAGTTGGGTAGGTCCGTTTTCATGAGCTGGGTGAAATCTCCTCAACTCCGAACCTAGGGCTCAACTCCGGAGCAACAGGTACGTACATGTACCTAGCTCGCCACTGGTGGCTACTGCTAATCTACCTTTAGAAGGGTGGTTGGGTGGGTTGCATCATCAAGTCCGCTAAAACTCCCCGCCCTTAGGCGGTGCTGAACCGCAAATTCGGCCACACAACGAATCCGGCCACTTGACACTTTACTATTAGGTAGCTAAACGTAGGAGCTAGCTCGTGAGCCTTGCACGAGACAACACTCTACACAAGCATTTTACATACCCTGTACACTCAAAACTGTTATCTGGCCGGATTCGCTGTTCAGCAGAATGGGTGAGTTTACGAGCCCCGAAAAAGGTGGGGCGGGCACGAGTAGTTATCCATAATATCGGCTTATGCCCCCGAACCGCGCATACTACCCTAGACTGCTCGGATGGGAACATCCGATACTTTTTGGACCACAACTACTGGTTCATCGTCCGGATTACAATATTTACACATGCAGAATTGATATGTAACACGTTGGAGAGCTCAATAAACTCTAATACAATGTATTGTTCACTCGCGCAAAGTACAATGTAATGAATGTTTCTACCCTACTGAGCCACAAAGCAGAAAAACTCTGAGACGCATAAATTTCGAGGCTCTTCTTTCATCTGTTCATATATTTTCCGTCAATTCACTCTACATAATGATACCATACATTATTATACATATTAGCTGTATGATTAACCCTAACCACACATATTCCATGATTATGATGCTTTATTCCCATCCGTCGGCCGATAGAGGGTCCGTTGATTCAGCATTTCTGGTGTATTCGGATCATGACTCGGCAACATGACGACATCATGGAGCCTCGCGTACTGCTTCATTTGCTGCAGGCTTCGAAAGGCCGTTTCTGGGTCGTCGTTGATGCCGTCAGGCTGCTCACTGTCTAGATCCTCGATGCTATAGGTGGCATCTCCGACTAAGAAAAAGTTGGTGGGATCCCGGTTCTCATTCTTTGCGCAGACAATGAGCGAAATGTGTCCCGGGACATGACCTGGTGTGTCGACCGCAACAATGGAGGCGTCTTTTGTAATCGGGTAGTACGACCCCCATGGGCCGATGGCATTCTCAGTTTTCTCAAGAATCCGCGGCTTGAAGTTTTTCGGCCAATGTTGCGGGGCACATCCATTGATGATCGCATGCACATGGGAGAGTTCCCAAACGCGTCCCAGTGTTCCTTAGTTGTATACACGGGAATGTCTGGGGCCTCCTCAAGCAGTGCGGGTAATCCTCCGGCGTGGTCTCCATGGAGATGACTGATGACAATGGCTTGGAGAGACTTGGGGTCAATTCCTCTTGCCTTGAGCAGTGATACAACCCCCTCTTCTTTACCGATGATCATTTGAGCAAAGAATCTCCCGGGACTCAACATGCTATGGTAGCCGGGATCGTTACACAGGGGTGACTCTCCAGTATCGAAAAGGATCGGCCCGTCCGGGTGAGAGATCAAAAAGACACCAACGGGTAGCTCATCTGACCATGACCGATCTAAAAATGACCTCATTCTCCGGAGGATCGCATTTTTGTTGTCGATGGGTTGGCTTTTCATAGACGTCTTGATCCTCACTTTGCCGGTTGACAGGAACGTGATGGCCACGTCTCCTGGCTCCATTTTGATAGTTCTTGATGTTTCGTGTGAAGTGATTACAATGATCAAATGGGAGATTTTGTCTAATGGTGGGATCAATTGTATTTTTATTTATCCAATTTGGAGACAGAACTGACAGTAGAATTTGCGTCGGTGGGTAATGGCGCGGTGCGTCGATTTGACCGGCGGGCTTCTATTCAGCCGGTTGCGGAGTTTGATTCTGGGTGAGTTACTTTATAATTGTCTAACTACGCCTTATTCATCCACATCAACGGGAGCCTTGGCGCAGCGGTAGCGCGTGTGATTCCAGTCCACAAGGTCATCGGTTCAAATCCGATAGGCTTCAAATTACTTTTTGCTTTTATTGCTCGCAAACACACATAGAAGAACTCTTCATAGTTAGCCACTTGCCGGCAAAATCTTGGCTGTATGTAGATGGACGCGCTGATTCGTGATTGTGGACCGACGGATGCCAATTGAATCCGCAGTGTCTTAAATCCAGAGAGCGGTATGCCCCCTCATATAGCATTTAGATCGCCCACCGGTAGTCTGCGTACCAACGGAGTATCTTTTGGCATTTGGTAGTCGGCATTTAGCGCTTCGTCTCGTGCGGGCACAATCAAATGGCAATGTGTTGCTAGTAGTTCCAATAAGGCCGGAAAAATAAATACATGCCATTCAAGATCATTTTCTTAGCACACAAGACCACTGAAGCCCTTCAAACCTCAGAGCAGTCCTGAACAGTTAGTCGGAACCGCCTCCAGGCAGTCATCCCGGGAGACAAATTGCTATAATTTGAGGGATCTTCAGGAAAGAAAAGTAACAGGAGCAAGGAAGACGGCTAGCCGATATTTAGTCATTCTTTATACGCCAGTATAGCAGGTATTAACGAAAGAGGCTTCAAATTGTAATTCAAGTCGGTATAATATAGCAGACGGATATAGAGAATAAACGCGTAGAAATCAGGATCTGACAAAAAAAAAATTAAATGACGGGACCTCGGCGCCCTGCGCATTCCTGGTCAAATATTTGAATGAGTGATGCCAATGCCAACGATACCAAACATAATTTTGTATCTAAACCGTTCGTTATCGTCGCATCGTATTATAAAGTGCTTATGTATGTCGTAAATCGGTCGCGTAACGTGAAAGATCAAGCTGAAGATTCCTTGGCCTCGGCCCCTTCGTTGCCTTCCAGGCCTTCTGCCTTGGCCAGCTGCTCCTCAAGCTTCTTCCTAGAAGCCTGTATCCTGGAGCGTCGTCTTTGATCCTGCTTGTCTCCCACGATATTGGGAACGGCCTTGATGGCCCGGAAAAGGGTGACGAAACCGAGTTTCAGCTCGCGGGCGGCCGCCTTGAAGTGGTCTTTGGACGCCTTGAAGCTTTCCCGGCCCCCGCCGGCGCGCTTCCTGTTCTTGTAGGTTCTTTCCGCTTTTTGGGCCTGCTGGAGCTTCTCGGTGGCGTCGCGGCGGGTCATGACGAGTAGGTTCTCGGTGTTTGATGTCAGGCGCTTGTCCGCTTCGGTGGGCATGTTCTCCTCGTCGCCCTCCTTCGGCTCGGCCTTCTTCTTCTTAAATAGTGGCATGTTGATGAAATTAATGTATATATGGATTAACAGGTATTAGTAGTTGAAGTAAATGAAAGTGGGAGAAACGAACAAGGCCGGGGGTCTAGACGAACGATTGATTATATATCAGTTCTTGCTTGAGTACTCGCCATGCTTCTGGCACACCTCCATTCGGCGTTGACCGATGGTCAACAATTTGGCATAACGACATTGCATTGTGACAGCCCAAGACTGGCTGGCGACGAGCGCAACAAGCCAATAGCAGTGCCAGGATCATACTGGGAAGCAGACCTACTTGAACTGCGAATGCTGGAATTGCAGGGTCTGGCAGCCAGGGTCTTAGATATGACGATGACTATATCATGCGTCGATGGACTAATCCGGTCGCAAGGGCTGGCCATTGGCTATTACTGCATATGGCTATACCCATTCTGACTGTCGCAGCATGAATTCATATTTCTTTTCATCCAATTGAACGAAATAGGGACGCCATCGATGAAACACCCCGTTAAGCCAAGTCGAGCACTCACCAAGCGGGGCGAGTTGAAAGGGGGGCATGTCAGGCGAATTTTACTTCATTATGCAAGCCCAACATCCTTGCTGGAAGAGCTGCTAGTGTAAAGTTCCTTCTCCAATGTGCGTGAAGGAGTCGTTCATCACCCGCAGTTGCTATCAGTAGGCATTTGTACATAGACCGGTATAACTTCTCTGTACACTTTTGTTGTCCAAAAAGATCTCAAGGGAAACCGGAAAATTAATTAACAAGAACTTGAATGCCAGCGTATATCTACTGGTTGTAGTTTTTAGGGTCCTAGCTTCAAAAAGAAAATTCGTGATAACTCTCATCAACAATAGATCTACCCAGCTTTGCACGCAAATTATCTCGTAAATCGTCCAAATGAATAGATCAACATTCTAATAGTTTTTTCTTTTTTTGTCATTTCAAATTCCTCTGACTCACTGTGCCAACAACCCCTGTCCGATAACTCTAGCATCCTCATCGTCATCAGCGTCAAGATCGTAATCAAAGTCGGGAGCATCAAAGAAGCGCTCAGTTTCGCCCGTGACAGGCCTGTAGCACTCTCGATGACTTCTGAAATGGCTGAATCCCGGAATCAAACTCGCCACTGGGGCCTGAAGGTGCAGGTCGCACTGGGGGCACATCTGTTGTTGTGTGTTCCTCATGGGACGCCCAGGGCCAATCAAGTCGCCGAGATTTAGGAAGGCGAGATAGCTATGGTTGAAGCTGATATGTTTTAATGTTAGAAATGTGTTTTTTTCATAGCTCTATTGATGTGCAGGTGCTTACAAGGCAAAGAGATATGGGATGGTTGCATAAGTCGTCAAGGCGACTTGACCAGACTCACGTCCAGCCAGGCTCTTCCATGTGAAAACCAGAATGGCCATGATGCCAACTGCACAAGCACCGTCAAATACCAATATCGTGATGGAAATGCACCGGGCCTGTCGCTGAAGTTTGATTGAATCTGGGGTATCGTCTGTGTGGCGGCGATAGCGGAGGAGCAAGCCGGCACAGATGGCGGTAGAGAAGGCCAGAACTGGCAAGCCCACGATAGGCCACATTCCTGAAATCACCGCATTGACAACGGATAGAACAAAGCTAGGGACGAAGCTCAGGATGATGAGCTGGCGAAGAGGATGAGTCAGAGCACGTGGCTTCGTCATCATGAACAAAGTAAACTGTATTGGAATCTGTCCGCTTGGTTTACTTGATTCTGGTCGTCAGGTAGGCTTTGCAAAGAAGAAATGCAGAAATTTAATTTTTCTTGGCTACATAAACTACCAAACTGATTGATACGATATGGGAGGGAAGCCTTATAATATCACTTGCCCCCTGAAGGCACGCGCATAAGGGTGAGCATGACATGAAACACCGGCACATTGTTATGGCATTTACAGCTGCCCAAACAGTCACAAGCATTTGAGCAGTTCATGCTGTCCAGTCTGCAGACGCCAAACGTTTGGTGGATGGTTTGCTACGTCTAAAAATAAACAGCGACACAAGCACGCCTGTTTATCGCGTCCCAGTACCGACATAATGGGCCATGAATGCATTCAAGTAACAATGTTTCCTCTGCCAGAAACCTGCTCTTTGTTGTTGCATAAGCTCATGGGGCGATTGTTCATTATGCTAGCCTGCCAGTTGTTCATGCATCCCTACACAATGCCCTGTCTCATTGCATAAACCATTATGCCACCATATTCTCTCGAACATACTCCTTCAGCGCTGGTGAAGCGAGCGACTTCTTCATCCCGACAAACCACAGCCATTTTTCGTAGTAACGAGTTGCCAGCCATGCTTCAAAGTCTGTCCCCAGCAAGGCAAGGTCAATACACGGATTGAAATACATCATTTGGAGCCCCAGCGACCTGGCTTCATCTCTATCCTCTTGCGTCACACCACGGTTCTTCCTGGGACACGCATCGGCCTTGCGCTCATCATCGCTGTCGCAGAATTCACAGAAGCCACTCCGCTCTTCAAGCAAGCCGTATCCGCCATCCTCGCCCGGTTCCAGGTAGAGGTGGATGCGATACTGCATACCAGCCAGAAACGCGATGATGTATCCTCCCGCGCCGGCATCCATGGATTTAGGAACCTTGCGTAGCCCTCCCCTAGCCATCTCCAACCTTGACGCATCAGTCTTGACAACGTAATCTCGGCGGTCAACATCCTGGATAAACTTGAGAAACGGATCTGGAAGTCGAACCCCCACGCGTTCAGCACTAGCGGTGAGATCGGCAACTGCGGCCTCGTGGACGCCGCAACCGCGATTATACCTAGCCATATGTTTCGCGATGCTCGAGCAGGGAGGTTGTAGCCAGTGCAGATCACCAGATAGCTCTAGGTAATCCAAATTCCGCGGATAAGGCGGCTGCTTTAGACGGGCACGCGGCGGCAGCGCAAGGATCTCCCTGCCGCTCGCTGACCGGAGGCCATCCATCATCGCGTCGGGGAGGTCTTCATAGACCATGAGATCGAACTGCTTTTTGAGCCGCTTCAACGCCCGGCGCGATCTGAACACCGGCTGGAGGAGCACCAGACACATGTCCGTTAGGGCATGGCTGTGTGTGTGAGCGACAACCTCGAGTGTTCGCAGAGGTAGGTATCGAAGAATGTGGAGGATAAGCTCCTTTGGGAGACGATGGAGCGCCGCCATGGCTGAGGAAGATCGATCAGACAGGTGGCGTGAGATGGAGCATGAAGTGAGTGAAATATGTGAGATCGGTAATCTTTCCACCCCGTGAATCCTACCTAACCGAGCGGTGTGGGTGCCATGACCCCGCACTATACTGTACAATATTCAACATGATTCCGCGCGGCGACATCTTTCATGAGTGTCGTCTGCTCCTAATGAAGCGAGTTACTGTCGGAGAACCCTGGCCCTCTACAGGCATCATGAGTTCATGCCTATTGACAACCACATTGAGTGGCCATGTTGATGTTTCTGGAGCAGCAGTAAGAGATCTGACGCGTTCTTGATGTTTTCATTCCACAAGAACTAGTTGTTTTACGTACACTTGTTATTGTTATGGCATGTCTGCAGCAGTTATTTGGCTCTCAAACATCTCCCAGTCGGCCAGCTCTTCGCCCGTGTACATCCCGGGCTGGAACGCCCAAAATATCCCATCTTCGCCGTCAAGAGAAATTCCCGATGCACCAATGTTTAGAAATGGCTCATCTGTGGGCATATGGCTGCCATGTTCATCCAAGTGATTAGTTTGGTTGGCATCCTCGTCGGCTGCGAGAGAATTTTGCCTGGTCCTGTGGGCATTGGTGTGATCGGACTCATAGCCACGCTCGAATGAGAATCTCTGGCTCAAGATATGAGTTTGAGAAATTGTGGGTTGCTGTTGGATTGCGTGCGGAAACTCCCCAAGATGCGCGCACATCTGGTTAAGCTCTGCCAGTCTCCTTGACGCAGCCCGATTTCCCAGGCTCACGAGATGGGAGAGAAGTCGACGTGAAATCTCAAGGCCGCAGGTTCCGAAGCCTCTTTTGGGGGCAATCATTTCAAGGAGGACGAATACGAAGCCAGCTGAGAAGAGGGCATCAAGGTCTAAAAATGCGTGTTTCGCTTAAGCGCAGAGGAACGAAGATGTCGAGTTAGCCTAGTTTGGAATGGTAGAAGGTGTGGTAGATAGAGTGTGAATCCCCCTACTCACCCATGATGCCTCGATTCCAAAGCTCTTGTAGAATCATCAAGCTCTTGCTGGCAGCCTCCACACACTTCTCTGCAAGCCGTCTTAGGGCGGAACTTGGACGACCGTACGGTTGATCGTCCGCCTTGTGGCTTCTCCGTGCAATCGATAGAAGGATAGGGCGCCCGGCGTGAATGAACGCCTGCATCAAGTCAGAAAAACAATTTGGTTGACCATAAATGAGAGAATGATATACCTGAAAAATGGATAAATACAGGGAAGAACTTGTCCGTGCTACGGTCTGAGCTGTCTTGCTGAACGGAAGGCCACCAACGTGGATCTGTGAGCCTTCCAGAACCATGATGTATTCAGTTGGCAATCTTTGCTCAAGGCCTTCGATAGAGACGAAGATATTCTGGACATCTTCTACGAAGGATGGCTCAGAAGAACCCTTATCGGTGTAGATAGCTGTTTAAAAGATGTTAATAAATACATCCGTGATCGAGACGAAAAATGTCCGCAACTGACTCCATATAGTTTGACCGGTAATTCTGGCAGCTAAAACGTTCATTGCAATTGCACTCGAAGAAGGGAAACCGGGGAAGTCACTTGGAGGATCTACCGTGATGGCTTCGTCATGCAGTGAAATAGGATACCCTCCTGCCGCTGCGAGGCGCCTGGAAACAGTGTAAACAGGTGGAAGAAATAAACAGGGTTACTTTGGCCTGTTGATCAAGTGAGTAGACATACCTTTGTTGCATATATATAGACCACCATAGTCGGTTCCGGTGTACTGCTTCAGACCTAGGGAGCATTTGATCGCCACCTGCCTTATGCATGCCGCGTACAACAGCAAGATGCAGCGCCAGGCTTGCCTTGAGATGCAGAGATGAGCAGGTGCGTTGAAAAGAGGCTTTTCATCTTACAAGGGGATGAGCTTACCTGTACATATGCTTCATCCTTTCGATCCACGATTTGAAGATATTGAGCGCTGAGTGCCACGACTTCAATCCCGAGGATCCCATGGCTTTTGAGAACAGAAACTCCAGGAAGACACTTGGTAGCCTCACGAAATAACGATGCACCTGGGGTATCCTCGCCGGGCAAGACCGGCTTCGCCTGCAACAGCCTGCCTACAGCCATAACGAGGAGCGCTTCGACAAGCCACAGCCTTGAAGGGGGTTCTTTGGCAGCGGGCCCTTGATACAGGCGAGAGAGCATGTCGGAAAATAGCCGAACATCGAAAAGTTGTTGTGAGATGCCAACATTGAGCACAACTAGGTCTAAAAGCTCCTGCGACTCGACCAAGGATGGCCAATCTGGTAGAGCCTGCAGGATGGTATCGCAGTGGCGAGAGGTCGTCGACATGGCCTGGGATAGGGGACTTTCGTTGTGAAGCTGAGCCCCGGTGCGGGAGGCAAGAAGGCTTCTGATTTCAGAGCCAAAATTGTCACTTGATGATAGAGCAGAATCAGGCGCAATTGCTAATAGTTCACGCTTATTAGCTTCAGCATCCTCGCTGAGAGGGAGCCTGTAAGAGTCAACTTACTGGGGGATTTGGCACGCCTTAGGGACTGAGTTGATTCTGGGTCGCGAGCTGGCGCTGCTGGAGGTGTGAGCTCGGCATTCTGGGGATACGCATGAGGGACGGGATTTGGGGATGCTGAGGCTATCGACCCTGACGATGAATGGGGTCTCATCAAGGTTGGTGATGGGCCGCCTGTAGTTTCACAACGAAAGTTATCTTGTCAGCAATTTCCAAACACGATGTGACTGATTGGCTTGTTTACTTTGTGCTGGGTCTTGAGATGGCGGCTGAGCTTGGCCTTCATATTGAGCGACCTTGTCTTTGAGTTCTCGTATCTCCCTACCCACAGCATCTGCGTCAGTGGCTCAATTCTTATCAATATTTAATCAAATATGTCGCTTGGGATTGAACCTACGCGACGGAAAACATCTTTCGCTTATTCATAGCGCCAAACACGCAGTGAAGACGACGCTTAGCGCAGTACTGGCAAGGCTGCTGGCCGTCGCATTTGACCTTTTTCTGCCTGCAGATTTCACAGGCCTGGCTGGTACGAATGACTCCATCGATTGATGGCCGCCGCCCTCGTCGTTTTCCTCGAAGAGGGCCAGCGGTGGCGGGCTCCGTCGTCTCGGGCGGTTGGCTATGTGGTGGGGAGATTGCGTCGTCCATGGCGGGAAAGAAACTTGATGGTGCGTCCAATGAACCCTGGCTAGCAGGCCTGCCGCCCGTGCCGCTCTACGATGGTCTTGTCAATGAAACACGGACCATCTCAACTCGGTGGCGGGCGAAACTGATGCACTGGCAGCGGGTAGTTGAAGTTGAGATGGAGAGAGCAAAGTCCAGCCTCAAAGCACAGGCAGGAGCTGCAAATGCGCTGATTGGCCATACGCCACGGGCGACGCGTGGGCTTAGTAATCGCGATCTTCCCCTGGAGATGCGCTGTGATCGCTAAGCACCCCAGATTTGCAGTGGGGTAGTCGCCTGTGGTCAAGCAATTAGCGGTTGTCAACCACCCGCGATGAGTTGAAGCTGGGCCTGGAGCCTGCCAAGGCACATGCTGAATGTACCTTTGGTGCACATCCGAGACTGGGAGCAGCCTCCGAGAAGCCGAAGTGTGTTTGTTAGTTTGCAGGTCCAACCACAGATTCGCTCCTTCCCTCAAGTGTTTATCATATATCGATCTCCCATTTTACTTATTCTACCTTCGAGGTACCATAACTGCAGATCATGCCGCAACTGGTCGCATAACACGAGAATATCAGCTGCCTTGCTCTGGATGCACCGAGTGAGTTGGTACTGGGTGTGGTGAGAATTCCGGGGCAAACCCTCTTCGCGATCGCTTCATGCCTAACAACATGGAAAATCCAGAAACACCGACGTCAATTGGGACACCGCACAACTCGTACAAGGTCAAGTGACCCTTCCTCCTTCGAAACTCGACCGGTTTTCTTCTCTCGATCTATCGTCTACCCTTCAGCCTGCAATCCCAACAGATTCGCGATGCCCGCCTTGCACGGACAAACACTGCTGCGTCTCTCGCAAGCACTGCGCAGCGTGACGCGGGCCCGGATAAGTCCAATCCCTCGTTCTCACCTTCGGCCCTCATGCGCCCTGCGAGCACTCTCGACTTCGCGATGGCTTCTCGAAGAGTACACCGTCAGGGTACCTCCAATGGCGGAGTCTATCAGTGAGGGCACTCTGTCGCAATTTCTCAAGGCCGTCGGTGAACATGTTGAAATGGACGAGGAGATTGCTACAATCGAGACAGACAAGATTGATGTCTCTGTCAACGCGCCTAAAGCCGGTGTACTCACCAAGCTCTTGGTGCAAGAAGGCGATGTTGTCACTCTTGAGCAAGGCCTCGCTATCGTTGATACCGACGGCACTCCCGATCCAGATACTCAATCCAAACCGTTGGCAAGCCCTGGTACACCAATTGAGAGCGAGAAACCACCACCTACCGCCGAGGGGCCAGCTTCGAATGAGACGCAGAACACAAGCTCCGTCTCGACTCCTCAAGCTATTGTTCCTCCTCCGACCCTTGAGAAACAAGAAGACGTAGTTCCTGCTCCTGCTCCCTCCCAGAGCGTACAAAGAGTGGCTAGCCCCGCGTATACCACACGAGATGGAAGTCCCAAGCCACCTAGGCTCGAACGAGTTGTGAGTGAAGCGTCTAATTATCCTTCATTTCTACCTCTTTGGTGGAGCAACTTATTCTAATATAACAATCAAAATAGGAAAAACTCTCTCGAATGCGAAAGACGATTGCGACTCGTCTTAAGGAATCTCAGAACAGGTGCGCATCCCTGACGACGGTCCAGAGAGTGGACATGAGCGCACTGATGAAGTGGCGCTCAAAATACAAGGAGTCCGTCGCCAAGGTTCACGACGTCCGGCTGGGATACATGGGAGCCTTCGCAAAGGCTACATCTTTGGCCGCCCAGCAAGTTCCTCAGGTCAACGCGAGCATCGACACCGACCGTGAGATAATCACATATCGCGACTACGTCGACATCAGCATCGCGGTTTCTACCCCCAAGGGGCTTGTCACACCCGTGATTCGCAATTGTGAATCCAAGAGCATCATCGAGCTCGAGAGGGATGTTGGCGCTATGGCGAAAAAGGTGAGCACAACTCAGGCCATGAGCCTGCTGTGCGACAACTCTTGTTCCAGAATCTAACTCTTCACAGGCACGCGATGGTAAACTGACATTGGCTGACCTGGAGGGTGGCAACTACTCCATCAGCAATCCGGGCATCTTCGGCTCCATGTTTGGAACTCCGTTGATCAACTACCCTCAGGCCGCCGTCTTCAACATGAACTCGATCAAAGAGGATGTCGTGGCGATCAACGGGAAAGTGGAAATTAGACCTGTATGTTCATGCCGAGCTTTATTCCCATTACCGGGCTACTTGCTAACCGCTTGGATAGATGATGTACATCACTATCACCTACGACCATCGTTTGATTGACGGTAGAGAGGCGGTCACGTTCCTCAATCTTGTAAAGGGATATATTGAAGATCCTAGCAGTATGCTTCTAGATTAGATAGTTAGTGTACTTCTCTGTACAATATACATAGATTAGATGAGAGTAGAAACTACTGTCAAACCTATTTTCAAGATGCCGGATTGACTGCACGACAAAATTCAATTCTGGGTTTCAATATGACATTGAAGCACGTCCCCATACCTTCATTCCCAGCCTGCACCCGGCCTGGAGTTCTGTGTGGTGCATGAATCCAGCCTAATGGATCTAAGTTACTATGGGGAGGTAGTGGAGGAGCCGCAGTCTAGGGGGTCAGTCCGGATGCAACTTCCGAGGCTTCGGAAGACCACGGTCCAGCTCGCCCGGGGGAGAGCCAATGCGTCCAGTGTAAATCGGTCCGAGGTATATTGACCGGCCATTCACGGCCTACACGTGTAGTTCCGCAGATTTAGTTTTACAGAGGGGGTGCATTGTGGTCCGTCTGAAGATAGCATCATAGCTATGAGGTAGACCCCTCACAGGCATTCCATTTACGATCGTTTCTTGAAGGCCGCCTCCTTCTTACCGCCCGTCGACAATAGCTGCTTATATTATCTATCATGATAGCTTCGGTGAGGATCAGCGGTAGACCGCTGCTAAGCCTCAGCTCCGGTTATTCCAGGCATGCAGCCAATCGAGGGGTCGTCAGATGGCCACAGAGACAGGCAGCAACTCGAGTAGCGAGGCAATCGCCCTATATTGCCTTTATGCAAGGGAGCCAATTCGCTACAGCTGCTGGAGAAGCTCAAGTTCTTACTTACAATGTATGTATGCTCTTCCTCGCATCTACTATCATCACGACGGTGAAACTAATGCCTACCTCATCAGAGGCCAGAAAATGTGATCCCAGAAGGCGGATCAAGCAGATATCTCGATGAAATGTACCAAGAGTGGGCTAAATCACCTGAATCTGTTCACGAGTCTTGGCAAGAGTACTTCCAGGCCGTAGGGCAAGCAACCAGGCATTCAACAGAACCGCAGTCTGCTCTACAGAATCATGTCTTCTCTGGACAGCAGTCAGAGGAAGTCCTGGATCACTTGAAAGTCCAGCAAATCGTTCGCGCCTACCAATCGCGTGGCCATTACCTTGCAAACACTGATCCGCTGGGCATTCGAAAAGACGCAGAGAGGATCAGGCCAAATGCTCCCAAGTCCGAGGCACCAAATGAGCTGGATTATTCGTACTACGGCTTCAGCGAGGCTGATCTTGACCGCAATTTCAGTCTGGGACCTGGCATCCTGCCTAGATTCGCAGATGAGACACGCAAGTCAATGACCCTGCGAGAAATCATTGCCGCGTGTGAGAACATCTACTGCGGAAGCTATGGAGTAGAATATCTGCATATCCCTGACCGAGCCAAGTGTGAATGGCTTCGCAACAGGTTGGAGGTTCCCCGTGCCATCGATTTCACCCCTGAGCAGAAGGAGAATATCTTGGATAGCCTGCTGCTAGGTACTACTCTCGAGCGTTTCCTCGCCACCAAGTTCCCCAATGAGAAGCGATTTGGTCTCGATGGTGCCGAGTCATTGGCCCCAGCAGTGAAGACCATCATTGATCATTGTGCTGACGTCCACGGCGTCGAAAGCATCGTTCTGGGGAGCTGCCATCGAGGGCGCTTGACCATGCTAGGTACAGTGTACGGGAAGCCCAGAGAGAAGTTGTTCGCGGAATTCGCTGGAAGAATGAGGTCAGACGTGCTTCCAGGGATGGCGGGCGATGTCAAATACCACCTTGGCCATGACGGAGAGTGCGTCACTCCAGGAGGCCGTAAGGTGTCACTCTCCTTGCTGGCGAATCCGTCTCATCTCGAAGCCGTGGACCCGGTCGCCACAGGCAAGACGTACGCAATTCAAGCCATGGAGAATGATGTCGACAAGAAACGTGTCATGTGTCTCGCTCTCCACGGTGACGCCGCATTCGCTGGGCAGGGCGTTGTGTATGAGACACTCGGTCTATCTCGACTCCCGGCGTATGATGTCGGCGGCACCATACGGCTCATTGTCAACAACCAGATCGGTTTCACCACGGATGTTCACTGCTCACGCTCGACGTCCTATGCCTCGGACATTTCCAAGTTTGTCAACGCGCTAATCTTCCACGTTAACGCAGACGACGTCGAGGCCGTTGCGTTCTTGGCTCAAGTTGCTGCCGACTGGCGAGCCGAGTTCCACACAGATGTGGTAATCGACCTGGTCTGCTACAGGAAGTTCGGGCACAATGAACTCGACCAGCCCAGCTTCACCCAGCCGCTCATGTACCAGAAGGTTACGGACCAGACGCCATCACTCGAACAGTACATTGAAAAGCTCGTGGGAGAGGGGACTTTCTCACGCGAGCTCATTGAGGATAAGCAAACCAAAGTCTGGGATGGGCTGCAAGCAGAATATGAGACGAGCAAAAATGTGATTTCAGAGCGCCATGATCTCCCACAAGCATGGAAAGATTTAGAATCTTCCCCCACCAATGACCAAAGAACGGCAGTGGACGAATCGGACTTGAGAACTGTCATGACAAGCATGACGACTATTCCAGATGGCTTCCAACCCCACAACGGTGTCTCCCGAGTGATCGCGGCTCGTCAGAAATCTTTCGAAAGCAATACTGTCGACTGGTCTATGGCGGAGGCTTTGGCATTTGGTACGCTGTGTCTCGAAGGAAATGCAGTTCGTGTCACTGGTCAAGATGTTCAGCGAGGAACCTTCTCACAGCGCCACGCTGTTTGGCATGATCAACCTTCTGGGAACTCCTGGACTCCGTTGAATCATATGAGCGACCAGCAAGCTCAACTGACGATCGAGAACTCTCCTCTGAGCGAGTTTGGAGCTCTTGGGTTTGATTACGGGATGACACTTGCTGATCCTCAATCTCTGGTCATGTGGGAAGCACAGTTCGGTGATTTCGCCAACAACACACAAGTTATGCTGGACAACTTCATTGCTTCCGGAGAGAGCAAATGGCTTGATCGCTCTGGAGTTGTCCTATCGCTGCCTCACGGCTATGATGGTCAGGGCGCGGAGCACTCGTCAGCGCGTCTGGAACGTTTCTTAATGCTGGGCGATGATGACGGCCGCTCTTGGCCATTGGACCTTGAAAGTACTGGGCGGAATGCCAACATTGAGATTGTTTACATGACTACCCCAGCCAATTACTTCCACGTTCTTCGACGCCAGCTCAGGAGAGATTACCGAAAGCGTGAGTTCCCCCTGTCCCTGTTTCACCGAATTCAGACACAGTATGGACGTTCAAGTCGTGGTATGACTAACTTCAATATTAGCCTTGATTGTTTTCTTTTCCAAGTCTCTGCTTCGCCATCCATTGGTTCGCTCGGAGGTTTCAGAGCTCACGGGTTCATCCACCTTCAAACCCGTCCTCAGCGACCCGGACCACGACATCACCATCGACAAACCAGAGGCCATTGCACGAGTCATCTACTGCAGTGGGCAAGTATACTTTGCTCTCAAGAAACGAAGAGAGGCTCTGGGCTTGAAGGACGTTGCCATCACGCGAGTTGAGCAACTCCATCCATTTCCCTGGGCCGAGGTCAAGGAAAACCTTGAGTTGTATCCCAACGCAAAGTCTGTTGTCTGGGCACAGGAGGAACACTACAACGGTGGCGCCTGGCACTATATGCGTGATCGACTGGACACCGTTATTCGTCAATTGGATCGCCAGGCTATCACCAGCCTTCGATATGCTGGCCGTGGTCCGAGTGCTAGCACGGCGACTGGGTTGAAGAAGCTACATGCGTCCGAAGAGGACGAGTTGTTAAACGAGGCGTTTGCCTCACTATAACGCTGTAGATAGGTATTCACTGGCAGTAAAGAGAATACTCCTAGTTTCAGGATTGAAATACCTTGCTCCAAGGTCGGATTTATTCGTGTACAGCTGAATTGCTTAGTTGCCCTAGATAGACAAATTTAGAGCAGGAAATATACTCGTTAAAGTCGCAAGAGATGATTGATTAGAGATGATTGATTAATACCTCCTTTATATGAGTACTTTTCTCTCAATATCTTCTATTTGTTTGTCTTTCACTGGACTTTCGTCAACACCCAGGGAGCTATCTCTACAGGAAGTTGGTTAGAGTAGTCACGATCTAGGGTTACGATGTCTATCAAGTGTTTCAATCTAATACACCACGCAGCGATCATAGTCACAATTTTCATGGACTGTGAAATCATATCGGTTTAGATCCCTTTCTAAGAAGAAACCACTTATGCTTCCAGTTCCAAATCCGACTTTGAACCGAACCGTCCCTCTCTAAGAGATATATACAGCAATGATCCATCAGATGGTATATCTGAACCGTTTGTCCTGCACATCCGTCATGTCCGAATCCAGAGAGGAAGTAACCCCCGAGGTTTTGTGATCATCATCACCAGCTCCATAGGCCACCATGCCAGCCGCCATCTTTGCATCGCGCCTCTTGTTCTTTGTCTTGGCCATCACGACGAAAGCAGCATACGATATCATAAGCACAATCATCGACACTATACTGAGAATGCAACCCTTGCTAAAGCGAGGGGCATCCTCGGCCTGCCAAGCGAAAGGGCTGGCGAAGCAACCGACACAGTAAGATATGAAAAAGCCGGCCGAGACAACACTCTTCTTCGTGTTCCCCTTCACGTTACTCGCGATGATGCTGGCGGAGCTACCAATCAAAGCCGAAGAGCAGCCAGCTAGCCAAGTAGCCACAATGATTCCCCAGCCAGCATCCTGGGGCAACGCCAAGAGAAGAACGGCACCGAGTAGAGGTACAGCGCAGAGTGCGATGGCGGAGTAGGCGCGGGTGCCTGGAAAGAAGCGTGGCACGAGAGCTCCAATCCAGACGGTGCAGGTGTTGCATGCTCCCGCCGGCATCGCGACTAACATGGTTTGTAGGGTGCTGTATCCGAATCCGTTGATGACGGTGGCAGAGAACTTCACTCGATATTAGTATATCTCCACACAGTCAAAATAGAAGGGAATCTTCACCCAAAGAGTGATGGGGACTTACCTTCATAATTGGGGTCGTGAGAGTAATGCAACAGGCCATGAGCATAAACAACCAGGTCATAGGCGCCGTGAGGGCCTCCCGCAGTTGCCCCTTGTTAAATTCCGTACGCTCTCCCGTGCCACGGTCTGATGCAAGTCTTTGAATTATAATAGCCTTCTCCTTCTCGTTCAGAAACCATGCGGTTGATGGGCTCCGGGGCATCAAAACGATGAATAGTATACCAGCCCCGATGGTAAGACCGCCACAGACAAGGAAGAGGACTCTCCAAGGAGCTATGACCATGTTCGCCTGCCCGATTCCGTACATCAAGAGCGAGCCCAAGATCTGGGCCACGCCATTCATTGAGACCCATGTGGCTACTCGGATCGGATGCTCTCGCTTGATGTACCAATTCGATGTGATGATGATAAACGCCGGAGACACGGTTCCTGTAGGGAGCTTAGCACAGGGTTCAACAAAACTTATCGAGTGATGCAAGATCTATTCCTACCTTCGGCAAAGCCAAGAAAGAACCTTGCTGCTGCCAGGCCTTGGAAGTTGTGGCAGGCAGCCATGGCCATGTTGACACCACCCCAGATAACAATAGTCACACCGACATATATCGTGATCGGAAGGCGTGACAAGAGATACACAGCGGGGTACTCGGAGCAAAATTGCCCTAGGTAGAACAGCGATACAGCCCAGGAGAAATCTTCGCCTTTCAACGCAAGGTCTTTGCGAAGGCCGAAGATCGCGGCCTGGTTGATCGATTGCTTATCCAGATCTACAGAAAGCAATAGGTATCAGCATCCAATGGCAGTGGTGCTTAGAATTTTGAAGGTCTCACACTGAAGGAAGTAGACGAGTGCCATGAGCGGCATGATGACACAGTCTAGTTTCCGAACTGCCCTGCGCTCTTCATTTCGGTCAATGGGGGCGAGTTGGTTCACCTCGGGATCCTCGAGCTCGATGGCGCCCACATCGTTCTCATCAAGGACTTTTGCAACCGTAACATCTTCATGAGGGTTGGTATTCATGGCGGGAAACTGTCTTAATCGTTGTTTGTGAGATCAATCCAGGTTCAGTTGATGAATTGGATGAAATGTGATGGCAAAAGAGAGGAATCGAAGCGACTTTATTAATTGAATTTTAGTTAGCAAGGCCCAGTTGAAATTATCCGAGCACCTCGGAAGTTGACCCCGGACCATTATAGTACGATCCATTTCTTCACGATGACAGAGTCGGGGGAGGGAGATGAGGGGAAGTGTAAGGGAGTGTGGGGTTTTGCCTCCCCACGGGGACCACATGGCTACCCCAACAATGTGCTTTACGAGGTATGAAGAAACAAATATTATCCCTCATAGTCCATGCCCATATAGATAAGGGAAATATTATTACAAATTTCTAGTTTTATCATTTTTAACCCTTAAGGATATACATCAGGTTGATCATCCACGCTAAGAGCTACCCACGTCCCAGTTCTCGTGGGACTTTCATGAAAAGATACTACGGCTTCGCAAGATTTTCTACCATCAATTTAATATATGCCCCCTTTCTAGAACTTCAAAGGCTGTTCCTATATTCATCTCTTATAGCCCCCGTGTCTAACATACAAGGGAACGGAAGTGTAGACTATTTACGAGCAAAATAATTGCACCGCATTTGGCTGTGTCCTTGGAAGGCATGGACTGAGCACTAACGCTGATATTTTATTACAAAACAAAATGACATTCGTCTACCTCTGCATGATAGATCTATTTGAAATCAAAATTGAATATAGATAAAGGAGTGCCGCGTGCCGCAACTGCCGTAGTAGGGGCCCTAACGAGGTCTCGGATGCATGAACCGAGGGCCCCCTTGCTAATTTCCAACTCCATGTGAGAATGTTATCTTAGCCCAAAGCTCTCAGCTTTTAGCTAATGTGGGATAATTTCTAAATCCCTGTACAACTAGGAGGCCTGTACAGATCATTGGCTATCATTTCCCATGCAACAAATGTTCTCACTTCGACAAATCATGTTCTCACGGAAAGGGGGGACTGTCGTCCTACGCCTTATTCTTCGCTGTGAATCAAACCAAAACCTCTCAAGCCTTTTTTGCGAATACTACTAATGAAAGTGCCTGGAATACCTAGTGTGAGGCTGATTCTGCTTAGCTCAGGTAACCAAGCTCTCGGAGGGGCTTGATCGACTGTGGTCTGCGGAGTTTAACATGTTGTACGATACATGTGGGTAGCAAAGGCTGTTTTTTTAGGTTTTCGTATTCATTGTGTTGAGTTGTCGGGCTCTGGCAGCTTCCATTGCTGTTAAACTTTATTCTCTTTCTCTTACGTACGATACATGTACCTTTGGGGGGCATTCTGGTCCTTTTCAAAAGGAAAATAGGAGTGTCAAGATATTTAAGAATATTTGTCCGTTGTCAAAAGGGGACGAGTTCCATCATGTCTACCTGCTGATCGGGAAAATAATTGAATTCTCATATCCCATGTTACGCCGAGAAGACCTGAGAAATGCTCTCGAGGCTGATATTCCCTCCACTGAGAATCACTCCGATGTCTCATCACTTGTCCGCTTCACTCGCATCCTCTAATGTCCGAAATTTCCAGTGTACAATCCCTCAGCCAGTGAGACTGCCGCATGAGGCTCTATGAATATCATGTTTCCTTTCATTATGTGAAGGTCAACGGCTGGCCAGGAGGTAATCCGGCGTGTTGTTCTGTTCCGTCATTCATTCTTTCCCTTTGGTGAGACCTCGCCAAGAATTGCCCGCTTTTCTGCTCAACGATATCCAGACATGCTCACTTGAAGCTCACAAGGGACTATGCAATGTATGCGCTTCGCGTAGCACTTTTCGACATGTTGCTGAGGTAGTTGCTGGCGTAATCAGCCTCCGCGTAGATTTCCCGAAGGTGATCGAGGACGGCCATGCAAAGCTGGAAGCAGGCCAGCGCTTTTCCATGGTTGAATGAAGGGGGTCCTACCACATCTGCAAGGTGAACAACGGCTGCTGAAAAGGTAATAGAGACCCCGGTGCTGGGCATGTACCTGTATAAGTCCGATCGTTCTAAATCGGTCAACAATTTGGTGACCTCCGTGGCCGCATCCCGCACGCGGTTGCCACATGATTTCTGATCCTGCATTGACAGGTTGGTGTTGTTGTCAAAAGTTTGAGTAATGTAAGGTCGGAAGAGAGCGGATACTGCAGTGTAAAACTCCATTTGGAGCAGGATTCCCTGCAACGAAGCCGGAGTCTTTTCAGCGCCAGCGGCCGGTTTAAGCTGCCCATTCGAGTAGCAACTGTAAGGTAGTTCTCTCTTCCAGTTGCATAAGTCCAAATAAATCAGACCTGCGGAGTCGAAATTATCGAATTTCTTTCTCGGTGATAAGAGTATAGACCGTTTTGTGGTGTCGGGGGCACGGTCATGGCAAGGAAGAATAAAATATTGCTCATAGAGAACTTCCCCGATGAGCACGCACAATTTAGCCCTCGCTATACATATAGAAGCCAACTGGGGAAGTTGCTTAATATATTGAGCAAGGAAGCTACTGCGAGCGGTGCCGTGCTCGACCAAACCATCGATGTCAAAATCAGTCTCATGGAGCATATCGACGTTGTAATCCTCTTCTTTTAACCTTGAAGGGTAACGAAGACCGAGTGCAATGAGGCGACCATGCATCAAGCATGACCACCAGACTCGCCTCCCCAAGTTTGTTCGAGCGATAGATGTCTCCATTTGCTCGGTTTGATTTTTATCCAATCCAATGCTCTGTGCTGTGCTTATAGCCAGACCGACCCAATGCCAGCTGTCCTTATGCTCACTCGGCGTCTGATACCAGCCAGCCAGTAGTAATAAGGACTGTACCACGACTAGATGGTCCTTCTCATAGCCAAAATTATACAGCAACTACAAGACTCTGGGGTCAGCATCTAAGACAACTGGTGGGCGCCCAACTTACTCGAGTCTTATCATATAGATGTTTTCTCGCCACTCGACGCGATGCGTATCCCGCATTTTGAATGAAATGCAAGTCAACAAATGCAGCAGCAGCATATAATACGGCATGATATAGGAGCAGGCTGAGCGCTGGGCCTGTCTCGTTGCGATGATTTACCATTCGGTACAAATCAGTGATACTGATCAGATGAAACCGAGGCTGGACATGCTTTATGTATGCGTCGATAAAGGCATCTTGCACTGTGAGTGGCGGCAAGGCTAACACCCCCTTCAATTGAAGATATTGGAAATCTCCCGCACTTATGTTTGCTGGAAAAGGCTGGAGAAACGGGGGAAGATCGAAACGAAGACCATCCTCATAACCAATGTGAAGATTGTCCTCCTCGTCTATCTCCATATCCTCAAGCTTTCCCATGTTATACAAATCTTCCGATACGCTTGACAAGGACCAATGGCCAATACCAGGAACGTTACATAGTTGAGAGTCAGATTGGCTTGATGCCATCCGCCCTCTGGAACGCAATCTAATGAGTGGTGAGCAGGAATCATTTACAGGACTAGACTTTTTGCATGGAAGCTATTGGAATGCTGGTGTCACTGCCAGTTTATCTTACCTCTCTCGCAAATGGGGAACTACTATGCACTATTCTCAATGTCAGTTGGCATGGTCGTTACATTTGCCTCCCGTTTTGATGTCTACCTTGACATTATGCCAGCGACAATTTGCACAAGGGCCGCCCTCCGCGACATTACATCGGACCTTTCGTGCCTGGCAGGGGACGCATGCTTGCTTTCCTCGCCGGCGTCTAAGGGTTTGAGGCCGGAACAATTTTGATGATTCGCCCACAAGCATACAATGAGAACTAGAATTCATAGCTGAACCCGAAGGAGGACTATCAAACGGAGTGAACAAACCATCATCAACTGGATCATGTGCTTCATTTGAAGTTAAATCGATCAGGGAAGAAATTTGGTCAAACAATAGTGACCCCATCGTATGATTTTCCGTGTCGACTTGTAAGACTTGTGCTCTTTTTGAGTTACTTTATTGACAAAGTAGATTCATAGGGTCATAGGCAGCCTAGTCAACAAATAGCGGTATAATAATGAGCTTAAGCTCCCAAGCTGACTCCTTGAGCATCATGGTCGTTTTGGTACTCCCAACGGAACTCCCTTTCCGGCCAAGCTTAGAAGAGCGGAGAGGATATCCGAAGCTTCGGATGTAGGTGGACCCCCTCGGGATGATCCTTTTGTGTGGCAGCCTTGGACTGATCTACCATCTTTTACTTTCGAGTCATTGACGAAACATGAGCCAATTAATTAAAACAATATGATGGACACATGGCGTTTACACTTTGGTCTTTGAATGCTGGGAATTCAGAAAAAAAAAAGTCATAAACTTTAACATTTAGCCAGGTATTGATGCATGGCTTTTATATCACTGATCAAGTATTATTGAAGCTATGCAATTCATTATATTCATGTAGTGCAGGTGATGTTATGGCAACTAGAAGCAGAAGCGTACCCTCATACTCTTGAGCCTTCAGTGTCTTGAAAACAAATACATCACACCATGTATGAGGCCCAAAGAAATATCACCAGGATGATAATCCTACTTATTCAAACTAATGATGGACATTTCGCCATCCCATTTGCGACCAGATTGCTACTACCATCGTGATTGCCTTGACCGAAATACAATCTCTCTTCTTCTCTCCCTCACGCCACCTCTTATAGTGCTAATAAATTTCACATCCTCGTCATATTCGTCTTCACCGTCGGGATCGTCCCATAAATCAATATCTCGATGCAATTTCGCATCAGCCATGCTGGTATGCTCCTCATCCGTGTCCCTTGATGAGGAATTCAACTCGGCTACTCTGCGTGCAACATCATTAGCCGCGACTACGGATGCCAGGACACGCGATAACCCCGGATTCTTTTGGACAGAGGTCTTGCAAAAGTCCAGAGTAATCTTCTTTGCGAGTATTGCATTCATATCGGATGAGGTTTCCATCCTTTCGTTACCGCAAAGACCCGCGCGATAAAACGTTTCTGACACCACAGACTCGCTATAATCATCCGAAAGCCCAAGTTTTGCTAGCCTTTCCTCTATGGAGGTGTTAGGCATATGCTGAGCTGGGGGAGGCTTGACTTTTGTTCCGGGAACAGGGTCAGTCCACCAGGTCCTGCCTATTATGTATCTATCCTCATAATCATAATCTGCCTTGAGCATCAAGGGCTTGGGAGGCTTAATGGTGGCTCTAATTACCAGCTCATTCGCGAGCTCCAGAGGTGTTTGTCCCATGGCATTTTCGCGACAAACCAGACCTGGGTTGTACTGGATGAGACCCCTAACAATAGCCAATTGACGAGATTTGATGGCAGTATGGAGACAGGTATCACCGACATCATTGAAAGACTCAAGAGCTTTATCATTAGAGAACTCGAGCAGGGTTTGCAGGAGTGATACCAAATCTGCTGGCCTGTCCCTCAAAGGGGTGTAGGTGCCGTACACGGAGAAGATATCAGTATCGTCATCCCGACTAGGATATCCGCAAATATGAGCAATCCAGGAGTGTAGAGGAACGGTGCCGTTTGCCCACAGCTTTTTTCGCTGACGAAAGAGATCGCCGAGTAGCCCAGCATCAATGATCTTCGTCAACTCGCAGAATCGACGTGACTCGACAGGTCCCTCAAGTGCTAGATGCAGAATGTTTTCTCCTTTAGAATTGCAAACTGTTTGGTCGGCATGGCCATCCCGGATTAAGATCTCAACTAGCGAAATCCGACCGATCCGTGCAGCAATCAACAAGGGCGTATGTCCTGTGGAATCTCGACTTTCCACTGCATCTGGGAACCGTTGGATCAGATATTTCAAGACCTCTTCTGCCTGTTGGAGGGTCGGAGTTAACAAGGCATGATGAAGAAGAAGATGATCTAACAGGCGGATTAGCTCCGGCATATTCCAGATGGTTTCAACCTTGTCACTCACTGCTCGCTCCAAGCCATTCTGAGGCGGTCAAATCAAATCCTGCTTTACTTTGAAGAAGGTGCAAGATTTTGGGATTATCGCTTGCAGCATCGGATCGGGCAAACTCGGCATACAATTGCAGAGGAGTCTCGCTGAGGAAAAGCTTCACGATTTCAACCTGCCCAGACCGCACAGCATAAATGACTGGGGCAACCCCTACATCGTTCGTATGAGGATCCTTCTTGGAATGGTCGAGACGTCGGCCTCTTGGTCTCCGTCGATCTCCTGGTGCTACAATATTGGCCCAGTCCTCTCTATTGTTGGAAAGTCAGAGGTGAATACATTAGTAAAGGAACAACCAAGTATAACTCGCCTCTTTTTTCCGTACACAGTAAGGCCTTAATAATATTCCGATTTCTGCTTCATGATCTCTCCAGAGCGACGCACAAGGTCATCCAATATTAAACCGGCCCCTATCTCTCTCATAACAAGATGCACAATCTCGGGGTTTCCTTGATTCAGGACTGTTTGAAACTCGGCCTCGGAGAGCGTGAATATTCCATCCTGCTCCTTCTTATCTGTATCATCACGATAAAGAACCAGTTCTTCGACAGGATCGTCTGGCAACTTTTGACTTGTCCAATACCGGGCAAGTTTAATCAGAAATTCAAGCCCGGCCACATCGTCTCGCCAGACGGAGGATTCGAACAACGTCCGTCGAGCCCCAGGTTCCCATTTTGTATCCAGTATGTGTAGCGTTTGCCATTCTTGTCGAAGAATGCGCATAGGCGTCTTGTCTGACGTGCTTAGCTCTGGTTCCCGGTCCAGATCTTCATTAACAGACACATTGTCTTCATCTTCGCTCAATATAATAGGCCCTAGTTGAGATACATCATCTCCTGAGTCTAGCTCCATCTCGCTGCGACCAGGGGAACTACTTCCCCTGCAGCTTGGACTTCTTGTTCTCCGACGAAGTTGAGGTCTTCGGGATATTTGGTTTGAATCTTCTTTAGGCGCCCACTGACTTCTTACAATATCCAAGATAGCGGCGGCAACTTCATGATGGCCGCGGAAGAAAGCCAAAGAGAAGGGACAATTGTGTTCGTCATCTTCAATACTGATGAGCAGCCGGGGCCGATCATCGTCAGGGTCAGTTCGAAGGGTCAGTGATTTGATCTTATCCAGATCTCCATCCCAAGCAGCCTCCATCCTAAAGTGAGAGAAGGATTAATTAAGTTGGCTCGTATTCAAACAAGTAAGTGGAACCTACAGCTCAATGTATTCGTCCTCTTGAGAAGAAGAAAAGTTCTTATCCCCACGGAAGCATATCTTCCCGCTCTCAACAGAGGAAGGTCTACCCGAGGGTGAAGGGCTGTTTAGCCGAAAACCTCTTCTTCCCGTGCGGTATTCCTTGAAATCGGTGTGGAGATCTTTGAAGGTCTGTCCGCCCCGAGACACAAGTTTTTCTTTCAGATAATTGAGCCCTGAGGCTAGTTTCTCAAGGCGCTGGATTTCTGGATTAGGAGGAACCTGATCCACTGCCATTTCTTGCTTGTCCCTTTGATCTCCTAAGTCACTCTCAAACCGCCATTTTTGTCTTTCAAGCACCTGTCTCTGATAGAAGTGCTGATAGGAACCTGACGGAAACTGCTCGAGGAATTCGTCCGTACGAGGCGGATTGGGGGACGCGAGGCTTCCCTGATTCCGCTTAAAACTGTCTAAACTGCCCTCTATCTTGAGGAGTTTTGCATCCAGGACGTCAAGTACAGTAGATCCGGTCTCTAAATCATAGACCGCATCTCCTTGTAGAAGACTATACGAATCAGGGGTCATAGAGTTGGGATCTGCACCGAATTCAAGGAGTTGAGTAGCGGCCTGGTAGTTCTTCACCTGAACAGCGTAAAGGAGAGGCTGTATGGTAGTTCTGTAGAGTCGCTTATTTTCCCGCATAGTTCCCAAGTCTTGTTTCATGGGAGAGAGTTTGACAGCTCGAAGCCACATGTCGAAGCTTATATCCGGCTTAACCCCTATGTTCAGAAGCGTTAGGAGAAGATTTGGATCATCATGATCGATAGCCGTGTGAAGAACTGAAATAGCTCGTCTATCAGGAATATAAATATGTTTTAGGGCTCTAGTGACATTTGGCCGATCACATGCTACCAAGACATCGAGAAGATCTCCCGAGTTGCTAGCAACGAAATGATGGAAGGCCGTGATACCATCAGTGTCGGTCTGGGAAGAGAGAGCGCCAAGTTCAATGAGCAATCTTATCATTGACTTTGCCTTCTCAATAGGAAGCTTCAAGGCCAAAGCTAGGGTCAAGATAACATCTCTGTTCAGTCTATTTAGCCGGAACTGAACTAGAAGAAGAGGGTCGGCTCCATAATCGCACAGCGTCCTAACTGCATCTTCATGGCCACCAGACACAGCAAGATGAAGCGGAGAACAGGGGATATCCCAAGCAGGTATATCGATGTCGTAAAAGTCCGGTCCCGTTTCGGAGGCTTCTTTCATTTCGGTTTCATCTTCTTGTGGGTCAATTCTTTTGATTTCGCAAACGATCCGGTGGTCACAGAGAACTCATAATCCTCACTCTCTCCTTCACCCACTACCACAGCATCTGAACCATCTTCGTCTTGCTCCATATCAAGGTCACCTCTGGTGTTATGCATTTCACCTTCAGAAGTGTCCTCACGCACCTCTTGATCAGCTATCTCTATCTTCCGCCGTTTGAACTTTTTGCGATCTTGGCCGATTTCTTCATTCTCGAGGCTCTTTTCCATGAGAACTTTTATCATGTCCACTCTACCGCGAGCAGCTGCAAGATGTAAAGCAGTTCTTCCGTCAGCCAATCGAGCTGTCAAGCGGGCTCCGTGATCTACAAGGCATTGCACAATCTCTGCCGTAGATACGTTGACGGCGAAATGCAGAGGAGCCCGTCCGGTGTGGTCTCTCCTGTTGACATCGAAACCGTCTTGGCCAAGCCAAATATGGATGCTCTGTATATCCCCGTCAATGATTGACTGGAAAAGTCTAGCTGTGTTGCCGATATACGCCATCTCAGTCCAATCTTGTTCGGTCAACGGATTGAACGAGCCAATTGCCTGCCGACCTGGGTCGTCAGTAAGGAATGATACTTTCCCTGAAATATACATCTTTGCTTCATTTTCTGCCATCTCTTGTTCTTCTACCGTGTTTGGTACGGGGCAGCAACCGCAGCAGTCTTGAATGACATCCTCGACACGACCGAAAAATACAGGATGCCGATGAAGGTACACCTTCCGTTCCTCTGACTTTTGATTCCATTCTGCATTGAGCAGCATATCATGTGAATAGAAGAGCCTTTCGATAGCCTTGGCAGTGAAACGGCGGCCGTACGGAATGCTAAACGTGTGATAGTTGCTCACTTCTTCCGACGGAAACCAGTCAGCCACCTCGTTCTCATGATCTTGCTTCATATTGCCCCTATCCCTCCAATTCAAATGGGGATAACTCAATTCAGGTCTGCCGCGTTCTCGTCTTCTTTCATTTTTATATGTATGCCTAGCAGATTCCGTCGGAAGGCTTTCCAGCACAAGGAGACGTGCGAGACCGACTGTGCGCTTGAAGCTCCTCTCATAGATGGTAGGGTCGATACGCGAGCGATCCAGGTCAGACCAGTAGACCTCAAAGCTTCGATTCGAGTACTTGGCCAAGCGTGTCTCATATGAAGGACTCCGGCGCGTGAGATCGATATGGTTTACTTGAGTAATAAAGCTTGCGAGGGCACGTGGGGTCACGTAGACCTGCTTGCCATCATAAGCGCCTCCGGCAGCGTCAATATCAAAGCCGGTCAAAATCTCACTGATGGATTTGTATACTCTTAACACGATCTATACAGAACTGGTCAATAAATGACTGGCAAGCATGGCCACGGCGTCACATACCTGAATATGGCGAGTTGGATAATGACTCGCAATCGTGATGGCGTATTTGGTTCGCACGACAGTTACGTCTTTGAGTAGGGTATCACGGACAGCTTCTTCAATGGCTTTGATTTTTTCAATAGCCTCCTCCTCCGTTAAGCCATACAAAAAGAGATCTACATCGGAAGCTGGGCAGAATACCTCGTGGAACTACTGCCGTAATTTCCGCTTGTTGACTTTATACTCCTCGGGTATAGGTAATAAGCAATTGACAACGGATGAGCCTGCCGCAACCACGTTGCTCCAGTCCATTTCGGCCAATGATGCCTCGGAGAAAATACTGAAATTCCTCTGAAACTCGGCGAGACTGGCAACGATGGCTGGCGAACCATCTTTGCGGCGCTTTTCATCGGGCAATGGCATGATGTATCGAGACCTTTCCTCTGCTGTCTCTAAAGCCAGGTTCCTTGCCCGTGTAGTGACGAGTCCGGTGACTTCCGTGAAGAGTAGCAGGATGTTAATGTATGGGTTGTCCAGGATCGGATTCTGGCCATCTTGGGCGAAAAGGGCCCGAAAGTAGGCTTCATATTTATGGTATGGGCCAAGAATCTGGGAAACAGGGAGCTCAGGATGCTCGTGGATGTATTTCACTAGCCCGGACAATGGAGCTGGTAGCTCTGGGGGTGCTTGTGAGGCCATGATCGGCAGCGCCAGTATCGTGTGATTCTGGTCTGTCTTCGATCAAATCATCTCCCCAAAAAACAGATATCTCGGGTGGGATGAAAGGAGCCTTTCTTGGGGCAAAACTCGGCGCACTCGTCAGATGAACTGTGAGCTTGAAAATGCGCAATTAACAGCGCGTCGATGAGATTTCATGCTGACAAGAAACACACGGTCAGCACAACTTGACGACTTGCCAAGCCTGCTTCATGCTACCCCGCTAGAAACTCCCAGATCAAGCCTAGCGTTAGCCATTAACCAGGGGGTGACCTTTTCCCAATGATATCACAACTTCATGTGTGAGTTTTGATAAGCAAGTTTGGATAAGTGTTGATATCTGTATGGTTCGCAATCATTACGCAGTTTTTATCTGATTTGTTTCACTATCACTTGATATATACTCCATAGTGAGACATCAAGTTTTGGGCGAAATGTTATAAAACCGGGTATTGAATCACAAAAGCACGGCACGATATCTCTATAATACAATGTTGTTTAATGTAGTTTCTTTCCTTTATTTCCTTGATTTACCACCTAACCTACAAGCCACTCCAACCTGTCATTCAATCTGAGCCCCAAGTTGTGCACACGCAGACTTCACCCTCGCCTCGTCCCAGCCGTCCCATTTCCCAATGGTCTCCGGCAAGGGCCCTTCGTGTGAATACCCAGCTTTGACAACCATCTCGTCAACTCCCTCTCCATTCGCGAAGAGAATCAATCGAGCGATTTCACTAGCCACGTCGCCTATGAAAAAAGTCCTAGATGGGACGAAAAATGAATCGCCTGCGTCGGCGTAGGTCCATTCGGAATCCCCTTTGATCTTGAACTTGAATTGCCCTTCCAACACGTAGAAACAGTGATACACATTCGTAAAGCAAACCCATCGGTCAACAAAAGGCCGCTCTGGATACCTTGTCGTTGATTCCATTATCGAGATCGAAATCTGGTCTAGGCCGTTGGGTTGCCTTAGTAGAGGTCGAGTTAGAAAACCACCGAAAACTGAGCATAGTCCGACGTTTTGGTTGAGTAGGTATGGCTCTACGACATCCGCCGCTAGGGTGTCTTCAGCTTGAATCGTAGCCTCTTTTGGAATGAGGTTAGAGTTGATATCTTCCCGGCGAGTTGAGAACAGCAAGAGTTCTGTTCCTGGTTCCTCTGCTGCGTAACCGAGTCTCCTCCGCTGTTGATACCCAAAAGCGCAATTCCGTCAGTAGCGCTTCTCAATAATTTTAACAAAGTCTTGAGTCTCTTACTGCTGGAACAAAAATAAAATCTCCCTCGGTAATTATTTCACAACTACCCGCGTTGTGAAGCTTGATGGCCCCTTTCCGTATAAAGACGGCTGTAGGGTAGGTGTTGATCTCACTGAGAACGCCAGCAGATGTTAGGGTAGCATATCTCGTATGTGATAGGAGAAATATTCCGTCCGTTTCGTTTGGAGAGGCGATGATGCGAGTTTGAATACCGGACGTAGATTCAGTTGGAAACCCAATGCTATCTAGGACATAGGCTTCCTTTAATCCTGGAGGAGACGAGTGCCTTCTAAGCCCCATGTCTCCGGACTCTCGCTGCCAGGGGTGTAAACAGCTAAGGGATGACTGGGGCACCGAATGCTGACAGCAAAAACGACGGAGGGCCGGATCTCACCGAATGGGAAAAGCAAAACCCCGGAGAAGCGTAAGGAGGGCAGCCGGCGGATGAGATTGACGGGCCATGGTGCCCGGTCTGAGGACCAGTATTTGCTTTGCCTGAAAATGCCTCACTCGACTCTTTGTGGGCCGTGCATGTATCCTTGGAGGAGGCTTAGCTGGATGTGGGTCGATTGATGTTATTGGGGATTTGGTCCCTAATAAATTAGAAAACACCATTGGATTTTCTAAAAACCAAACTCGCGACGCTCTGATCGTTCAACTGGAGATGACTGCGCCGTAACTAACTATACCATACTCCAGGCTTATGCTTAGGTCTTCTCATTTAATGTAGCACGGTAAAACGTTGCCTTAGAAGTGAGGAGATATCAAGGGTGGGAGTAGAACAAGCAAGATTCCCCCAAATGTAAGCAAACGGAAGGAAGTAAGCTGTGATTCCCTGATACCTGACCTATAAATATAAAGTTTATGCAACCTTATTAGAGACATCACTGCCTGCATCGCGCTCACGTGATGCTACATGAGTTGGGATACATGAGTTGAGACACGTACGAGGGCAAATGTGAAGCAGTAATAGCTCGTCAGATCTTATTCGAGCTGTTTAGTTGGTTTGATGGACATGTATCCGGAACCAGACTGCATCCTCACAAAGCCAGCAATTAAAATGTGGTTTTGAAGCTGGACTCAACATCTAGCTGTTGTCGTCCTCAGAGTCAATATGAAACCTAGCTATCATTACGTGATAAAGTGATCAAGCAAGAGTTGCTTTGGTGAGCATTACCTAAAATATGAGAGTAGAAGCTCCTTACGAAGCGGCATGTTTCGGTCAACGATGATAATGTACCTTCGTTTAGGGCCGAAGACTTGATAATATTGATGAACCACTCCTCTCGTGATGGAACTAGATTTCCTGATGTAAGACTAAGTTATTATCCTAGTTAGGTAACCGATTTATTAATATAGAAAATATAGAAGTAGAGTTATTCATTCTTATTCTGGTTGTCCATATAAGGAATGTATGGCTGTATAACTTTCAGAAGGTTGAAGGGTACGTGGACAGAAACAATTACGATACTGCATTTATTCAAATAATCACTATAGTCTTAGGGAAGTTTCAGAATTAGAATTCCGCAAGAAATAAAAAAAGACAAGAGAAAAAGGAAACAAAGAGAGGCGGACAGCTTTGCATAGATTTCAGCGGAACGTGCCAGAGAATGGCCGTCTTCTCTAGGCTTCGTCACCCCTGTTGATAAGAACCGACTGGCGATTTCAATCGTCGAAACTAAACCACTTTGGAGAAGCTATCGAGAGGAGGAGCCTTGGTGTAATTGTGAGATACTTGCGAAGCCGTTCCGATACAGCCATATTATACGGCGATCGGTGAATGAATCCTAGCTCCAAATGCTATCGTTCTCCACAGAGTCGTATCATGTTGCTATCTTTACTGGCCAAAGTGCGAGGGACCGTGACTTTGTCATAGGCTTCACGCAAATTGCGCCAGGAAGAATCCGTCTTGGCCGCTTATCCCAGAATGAATTATAGCTCATTCCCTTTATTATATTGATCCCATATTTTGTGAAGCTGGCTTAGAGGGTCCTTGGGTTGGCTCTTCAGATGACCTGATTGCAAAGGGTTGGTCTTTGTCACGGACACGCTCCCGTCTCCACCGAAATCAGATAGGATGCGGGATACAGAAAGATATAGGCTTCAGGGGTCATGGACAGAGGACAGGGGAGAAACCCACCTGCTCATTGGCTGGATATCTTAACCGAACGCTGTCCGGGGTTCCCGTATTCGGCCCACATGCAACCTAGGCTTTCGATCATCCAATTCACCCAGACCTTATCAACTGTAATAGGAAGGTAAGGCAGGGCATGGGACCTTTGAATCCTCAACTATGACGTTCCGAGGGCATAGCTATCGTACGCTACGGATGGCATTCGGTGCCAAGTGCCGCCTGCTGCAGCCTGCAATGTGGTGCCCTGTGCTCTATGCAACGGTGATTATTTCTGCGTCTGTAGAGTATATTAGCCGTCAACTGTTCTTATCCGCACCAGTCGGCCACCACACCGGCAGAGAGGATTGCTCTCATCGGAAACCCTTGCCGTCTTGAGAAGAACAAATGAGGAATGCTGGTACGGTGGTATTCTGCAAGGGTAGCGATCGCCTCCGCAGACGATTGCAGACTGCTTGCCGCGACCCGACGGTTTGGAGTATATAGATGTACTGAGAAGCTGCCAAAATACGACCATGTTCAATTCCATCATCGAGGAGTTCAACCAGCGTGCAGAAGTCTGGAGAACACAGTGAATCTTCAACCAAAGCGCAACCAATAAGGTGTGTTTAGTTTACCGAGATGATCAAGGCCGAGAAATGTTCACATATCCACTGACACCATTTGAAATATATAAAGGCTACTCCAATGGCCCCATTCAACGAGGGGCGATCTGGCCCGTACCGCCTTATGCGAGCCTTTGCCTTTGGAGCCGCCGCCCTCGTCGGATCCAACCTCATCCACATATCAATGGCAAACGCAGCTGATGTCCCTGCCGACCCAGGCCCAGGTGGCACGGCGCCTGTGCGGCCATTCCGCCTGGATCAAGTCCACCTAGCCGATGGGCTGTTCCAGGAGAAACGCGACCGAATGAAAGCCTTTCTGAAGGGATATGATGAGAGGCGATTTCTGATGATGTTCAACAACCAGGCTGGTCGACCAAACCCTGAAGATATAGAGCTTCCCGGTGGATGGGAAGATGGCGGTCTGCTCAGTGGACACTGGGCAGGCCATTATCTGACGGGACTTGCGCAAGCGTACGCGGATCAGGGAGAAGAGGTCTACAAGACCAAGCTTGATTGGATGGTCAAGGAGCTGGCTGCTTGCCAAGAGGCCATCACCGCTCGTATGGAAAGCCCAAGCAAGGTGAAGAGGGCAGACAACTCAACCGCCGTGGGCCGTGTGGCAGGGAAATTCGGCAACGCTCTCCGGCTCAAGGGGAGTGGCAGGGCCCAATACGTTGCACTCCCCCAGGAGACGATTAACCAAATCAAGGACTTTACCATCGCCACGTGGGTTAATCTGGCAGACGATGATTCCTGGACTCGCGTGTTTGATTTCGGCCGCGACACTACCACTTACATGTTCCTCACTCCGCGCTCCAGCTCAGGCAAGCCTAGATTTGCCATCAGCACGAGTGGAGGGGCGGGAGAACAGTTGATTGACGGAGATACCGCTATCGCAAAGGACACATGGGTGCATATCGCAGTCACGCAGACTGGAAGCACGGGTACGTTGTATGTCGATGGCGAGGTGTCTGGGACGAACAATGCCCTGACTCTGAGCCCTTCCAACCTCAACAACCCCGGAAACAGGTGGATTGGTCGTTCCCAGTACGGTGACCCGATGCTCAACGCTACCATCGACGAGTTCCATGTTTTTAACCGGGCACTTAGCCAAGAGGAGATAAAATCACTTTTATCCTCGGCAGATGGCTCAACTGGTGGAGGCAACATCGCCTGGTACCGGTTCGATGAGGAGGAGGGTACTGCCGTGGAAGACTCCTCGCCAAATGGCCGCAGCGCCGGTATCGAGGGTGATAGCAACTCTGGCGAAGCCGACTGGATTCCCACACATCCGGGCTACCTCGGTGCCCTTCCGGAAGACACCGTCCTCCGACTCGGTCCTCCTCGCTGGGCAGTCTATGGCAGTGACAAGGAGGCCAACACGTGGGCACCTTGGTACACGCAGCACAAGATCTTGCGAGGACTTCTTGATGCCTACTACCTGACAGAAAACCAGCAAGCGTATGATGTTGTTGTGAAAATGGCAGACTGGGCTTATCTCGCACTGACGATTGGCGACAAAAATCAAGAGGGTTACGCGGGAAATCTCACCAGGGCTGACCTCAACTACATGTGGGATCTCTACATCGCTGGTGAATTTGGTGGAGCCAACGAGGTCTTCCCTGAGATCTACCAGCTGACTGGGGACGAGAAGCACTTGGAAACAGCAAAGGCGTTCGACAACAGGCAGTCCCTATTTGGTGCGGCGGTCGAGGACCGAGATATTCTCGTATTGCAAGCCAAGGACAACCCGGGTCCCCGTCGACCCAATCGTCTGCATGCCAACACTCACGTTCCTCAGTTCATTGGCTACATGAGAATCTTTGAGCACAATGCGGAGCAGGAATACTTTGACGCGGCCAAGAACTTCTATGGCTGGGTCGTGCCTCATCGTGGTTTCGCAACGGGCGGAACAGGTGGAAACTTCCCAGGCTCCAACAACAATGTTGAGATGTTCCAGAACCGCGACAACATCGCAAACGCTATTGCCGGTCAGGGTGCGGAGACATGTACGGCGTACAACATGCTCAAACTGGCAAGGAATCTGTTCATGCATGAGCATAATGCGTCATACATGGACGACTACGAGCGTGGCTTGTTCAACATGATTGCTGGGTCGCGCCTGGACACTGATGCCACTGATGAGCCGCAAGTCACGTACTTCCAGCCCCTCAGTCCTGCTTTCAGCCGTGAATACGGTAATACTGGTACCTGCTGCGGTGGCACTGGTATGGAGAGTCACACCAAGTACCAGGAAACGGTCTACCTGCGGTCCGCGGATGGGTCTGCTCTTTGGGTCAACTTGTACATTCCATCCACTCTGAAATGGGAGGACAAGGGCTTCGAAGTGATTCAAGAAACCGATTTTCCCCGTTCTGACAAGGTCAAGTTTACCGTCAACGGCGAAGGACAACTCGATATCAAACTTCGAGTGCCAGCCTGGGTCCAAAAGGGATTCGGCGTCATAATCAACGGAGAAGCCCAAACTGGCGAAGAGGCTAAGCCCGGAACATACCTGACACTCAGTCGTACCTGGGCAAAGGGCGATGTGATTGAGATACAGATGCCCTTCACCATCCATGTTGAGCGTGCTCTAGACCGCCCGGATACGCAGGCAATCAAATGGGGCCCAGTCGTGCTACAGGTAGTGGGTAGCCCGAACACCACCAGTGGCTACTGGGAACTGTCTCTGTACCGCTACTTGAAGCTTGATGGAGATTATTCAACGGCGGCCATCAAGCAAACTGGCACTACCTCGGCCGGCGATCCCCTCTATACCACTGCCAACGAAAAGGCCAGCGTGCGACCCTATTACATCAGTGATACGCAAGCTGTTTCGTCGTACTTCCGACGTGTCGAACCAGAGGTTGTCTTCGGAAGCATTGACACAGGCGTGGCCAACAACAAGCGAAATGACACTCTGCCCCTATATGATCTCCCAGTTGAGGGTATTGAGTCGCCCGGTTCAGATGGGCCTACGTTCCTTGATCTGGTTTGGGACGAGGCACCATTTGCTGCTCACAAGGATTTTGTTGACACTGTTACCTCTGTTGCTGATTCATTTGTCAAAGCTGGGGTGTACACGAGTGAGGAGCGCGACACGATCGTTGAGAAGGCTGGTGAGGCGGAGAAGACATTGGCTCCCTGCAAGTCACGTCGAAGCAGCTCGTGAAAGACTGTCATCGAGTTTTCATGCCCTGTGAGTAGTAGACAGATTTAAGTTGGGTTGGACCATTAGATAGCTTAATAGGGTTTCATGTCGACTACAATAAGAACGAGTAAAACGAAAAAAAAAAAAACACTTCGTGCTATGCAGTTCTATCACCGAACCATACATCAAACCTCCTGAAATTAAATATTGTTGATAGATGCACAGCCCTTACAGAAGCAAGGATGAGCTGATACCCGAGTTCTAGGCTAAAGGGAAAAAGTAGTAAAATAATTTCATTTAGAAACTCCTAGATTTGCTAGACCATGGAGGAATACTCAAGCCTTTTGCCCCTGCTTGAGCTGTTGTTAATCTAGAGCCTCGTATAGTTCATCGACCTTGCGGAGAGTCTCGTTAGCCTCAGATATCTGGACTAATACATCTTGTAGCTCCATCTCCAGTCCGCGAACATTGCTGATTATGTCTTCTTGCGTTTGGGGAATGCACGTATCATATAACGCCTGCAGGGACTGTCGGATAGCCTCGTGCGGGTTCCGATTCCCAGAAACCAGACCATCGCCCACGACACTAAACGAATGGACTTTGTGGATGATATTCTCGAGATCGTTGTCTATCATCTCCAGCTGTGCGGACTCAACCTGGCAGTTGATCATTTCCAGTTCTAAAACCTGCTTCCTCGTTTCTAGTCCCTGGATCATGCTTAGGAGCGACTCTCTTTCTGCGTCAAGAATTGCCAACTGTTCGTCTATATCGTCTAGCTGTCTCGACATTTTGGGCCGTGAACAAAGCTGTTTTGGCGACTGTACGAAAAAAAGAAAAGGCTGATTTTGAATGGATAATGCTAAGAAGACTATACAGCGTTAGAACTTTCCTTTATTATCCGGCTGAGATAGCCTTCTCCTAGCCATGGGTAATTCTGACAATATTGTTGCGGATGGAGAGATTTAACTAGACCGTGATTTTAATTTTGGAAATATAGGAAACTTACCAGAGACAAGGCTGCACAGGGCTACAAGTCAAATATCACTTAGGAGCCATTGATAGGATATTCATACCAGCGATTCGCTGTATATATAAGGGATATACTGTCGATGAAGAGGATACATCCTTAGGGTGCTCATGATGCCGAACATTTTACATTCAGCTGACTCGGGACATTGCACACATGCTTCTGTTGCTGGAGGCTTATCACTCATCCTAAAATTATGTGCGCTGATAGCTTGCAGATATGACAATCCACGCAAACAACGCCACCGACACTGACTGATTCACTAAACAGGAAAACACATTGCACATTCCCTAAAGTTCTATATTTCCAGCTTTGTATGCGTAGATATTACAATGGCATGAAGTGATAATGCGGGTTCGGCAGTGGCCCAGATTCTAGATGACGCCTGGCTACTGAAGTATATGGACCAAGCAAACTGACGGATCTAACCCCAACGAGCAAGCAGAATGACTGCTTATAAGATTAGTGTAAATTTGTGAACATATGAATCATACTCAATGAATCGGATGGTTGGCTACAATCTGTCCTGGGTGATGCTGTCCACTGGTGGAGCATTGATTACGACAAGAGAACGCCCATTTGATCAAACATTCCGAGTTTTGTCCGACTTTGTCTGAATTGATGATCACCATTGTATTGTAGTGCCTTGGCCACATCAACATCAGGGCTCTCGGAACTGATACCGAGCATGCCGCTGCGGGGGATGTGGGATGATGTGGGATGCGGAGGGGTAAACCCCAGATCATACCCCAGGCTACCAGACACTAGGATGAACCACAACCGACGAGTAAGATATCTGTGGATTTTCATTTGCTAGGTAGGTCTCGATTATTACTAACCCCATTCGTCTGGGTGAGTATTGAGGTGTGTTGAGCATGACATCCCGGCAACTGGCTTCGGGGTTAACATGAAGCAGCTAGTTGCGGAACTGAGACCTCAAGCTTTCCGAGCCAACCTTAATATCTGGTCTGAACTATATCAGCACCATGGCACTCCATTAATTTTTGCACATTTATAACCCGCAAATATCACAAGATGTTACTGTTCGAGCTGCTCCTCGGCCATTTGTGGTTGGCCGGCGCAAGTGTCATAGGTGCCATTCTCGCCAAATTGGCATATAACAAGTACGGCCATGGCATTTCTCAACTGCCCGGCCCATTTATGGCCTCAATTACCGATTTCTGGAGATTGTTTGTCGTATGGGGCCGTCGCCCGGACATCACACACGCAGCTCTTCACCATCGATACGGTCATTTCGTGCGCCTTGGGCCGAATGCCGTGTCAGTGTCAGATCCAAGCGCCGTGCGTGAAATCTACGGACTGGCAAGCGGTTTCAAGAAGTCCGAGTTTTACACTGTCCAGCAAACTCTCTCAAAGGGGAAACCCTTGTTTACTCTCTTCACGTCCACCGATGAGAAGTTCCATGCCAAGCTCCGCAGAGCCGTCAGCAGCGCCTATGCCATGAGCACTCTTGTGCAGTTTGAGTCGTACGTGGACTCAACGACGACGGCGTTTTTTCAGCAGATTGATGCGCGGTTCCTGAATGCCACCAAGCCTTGCGATTTGGGAAAATGGCTCCAATACTATGCATTTGATGTCATTGGTGAGCTCACCTATTCTAAGAGATTAGGGTTTCTGGACGGCGGCAATGACGTTGGTGGAATCATATCGAGCATCGAATGGATGCTCGATTACGCCAGTGTGGTAAGTTCTATTCTACCCATTCGCGTGCTTTTGTTCTCTTGGTTGCTAATCCCTTTAAAGATTGGCCAAATGCCGGTACTGGACAAGTTGTTCCTGAAGAATCCATTCCGCTTGCTTCTCTCCAAGTTCGGCTTGATTGGATCGTCCACACCGATGGTAGAATTTGCCCGGGAAAGATTCTCGGAGCGGGTCAATCTCGACACTGGCGAAGAGAAAGCTCTGGTGAACATGGAAGGGTCATCGACACGCCAGGACTTTCTCTCTAGGTTCCTGCGAGCGCATGACAAGGACCCAGATTTCATCCCCCATCAGCGCGTGCTGGCTCTGACCGTGGCAAACATTTTTGCGGGTTCTGATACGACCGCTATCTCGCTTCGAACCATTTTCTATTTCCTGCTGAAACATCCACAAGAGCTTGAGAGGTTGCTAGGGGAACTAGATGAGCAGAAGAGAACGGGTGGGTTCAAGAGAACAGATGGCCTGGTTGACTGGGAGGAGGTAAGAGACTTGCCGGTGTTGGGTGCGGTGATCAAAGAAGCACTTCGAATCCACCCTGCTGCGGGCTTGACCTTGGAGAGGATCACTCCGCCGGAGGGGGTCCAAGTTTCCGGCAGGTTCATTCCTGGTGGAACAATAATCGGCTGCAATGCCTGGGTGCTTCACCGCGACGCTTCCGTGTTCGGACACGACGCAGAACAGTTCCGGCCGCTCCGATGGTTCGAGGCAACTTCAGAACAGCGGCGTCTCATGGAGAGCTGTCTCTTCACCTTTGGGGCCGGTTCAAGAACATGTATTGGGAAGAACATCAGTTACCTGGACATGTATAAACTTGTTCCCGCTCTTCTCATGCGATACCAGGTAAGTTGGACATGATGCGTTAACACCGCCCTGATACAATGTATAAGCTGACCTTTCCCAGCTGAGACTTCCCGAAGAGAACTGGGAATGGACTTTGCACAATGCCTGGTTTATCAAACAGACGAATTTTCATGTCTATTTTAAGGCCCGTCAAGACACCTTACCCAAGAATGTGTTGAGCAAAGAATATTCACAACGGCCTATGTCCCCTACGTAAGTGAGGTGTACTGAATATCAAATTAAGGACATGTCAATCTTAGGGAAGAAATTGGGGATCATTCAATGATATCTTAGATTTATGCGATCTGTTGACCAGCTCGGGGGGGTTCACAATCAACTAGTCGAATGCGCAGTAAGAATCGTGTTCTGGTGATTGAGTTTTCATTCCAAACGCCTGATGATCAACCATTAATCAATCAAAGCTGCTTTTCTCTAATGCCCCATACCTTCCATCACGAGGACAGCCGAGCGACAATTTGGAAACCTGTTGTTTCTACTTCATTTGGGGATAGGCACTCATAGCCACTTGACCACCCGTATGCAAGAATAGCACGGTTCCTGTTGTCAGCTTGCCACTCTTTGCCATGCTGAGGAGGCCTGTGAAAGCCTTGCCAGTGTACACGGGGTCTGTCAGAATTCCCTCTATCCGGGCAAGCTCCTTGATGCCATCCATAGTCGTCGTATTCAGCACCCCGTAAGCATCTCCCAGAAACTCATCACTGATTTCAAAATCATCTTCAGTAATATCCTCCGCCTTGAGACCAATCTTAGTAGCAGCAGTCCTCGCGATACAAAGAACGATATCAGTCATATCAGCCTTCCTATACCCGATAGAAAAGCCTAGAAGCCGCTTCTTCTGTGAAAGCAACCCGCGATTCTCTGCGAGTTTAAAACCTGCCACTAGCCCACCCAATGTCGAGCCAGATCCTACAGCAGTAATAATAGTATCAAAATCCACATCAAGTTTCTTCTCCTGTTCAAGAATCTCAAATGCGGCTCTGGCGTAACCTAGTCCACCCAGAGGGTGGAGGCTAGCCCCGGATGGGATCAGGTACGGCTGCTTGCCGCGGGTTCTTAAAATCTCGACTACTTTATCTTCAGTAGTATCGACCGGGAAGACTTCAGCGCCCAGTATGTGATTCAACTGGACGTTCCCAGCATAGGAATACTCCGTCTCGTTAGATGGAACCAGGTCGCGAGGGTACAAAGCCACCTGTGGATAAGAAAGTTCAAACTGTGAGCGTTTGTCCTCCTTTACCGACCATCCTTGTGCCAACAGCGAAATTACCGAGGTTATTGAACTCATATCTTACATCCAGGCCTAAATGGGCCGCAGCAGCACTCGTCTGCCTCATGTGGTTGGACTGGATACCACCAGTCGTCACCAAGGTATCGGCACCTTGGTCCAGGGCATCCGCCAGGACGTACTCGAGTTTGCGGATCTTATTGCCGCCACCTGCTAGGCCGGAATTTGAATCATCCCGCTTGATCCAGAAAGTAGCGCCACAGCTCAGCTTAGTCGTCAGTCGTTTCAGGATTTCGACATCTGCTGGGCGTTCATACATGAGGGGAACGCGACTGATCTCGCTGAAGGGTGAGGGTAGAACGATCATTCTAGCGTTGGTAGATGATCCCGGACGAAGTTTGTGAATAATAATAAAAAAGCCAGCGGTCAACTGTCAACAGGAACAGGAACAGGAAACTTCCTAGTCCTATAACCGTATCTGGTCGTTGAAGGGCGCGAATGATGGCTTGCATATTATTAATTACCGTATTACGGGGTAATGGATTGGGATTTGTCAGGGTAGGATCATGTGGAGTCAGTTATGGTTCCTTGACAAGTTGAGATAGACCATCAATCTGACGAGCAATATACAATGACGACAGGATATCTTAACAAAATGGCTAAATAATGAGGACTAGGTGGATAACAACAACGGTTGTCCGAGACATCCTGAGGAGAGGACAAGCAATAAGGGCCTTTGGATACGCTGCAGGGCTTACATAAACTGAAAGAAATTGAAGGGTTCCTCTTCGAAGTTTGGATCTATGCCAAAATCAATCTCATCAACGTTTTGCAAACCTCCAAATTCCACATCTGGGTCTTCCTCAGTAATGGCGTGTCCCCGTGAGTGGCGAGCATTTGCGGGAAGGGCAAACTGAGGCTGGCCTAAATTCCTTCTCACGTTGAAAACATCCCTATCAACATCAACCATTGCGTCCGAAGGTGTTCTGCTTGAACTTGTCAAGTTGGAAGCCCACACAGACGTATTAGAAGAGTCTGCGTAAGAGGAGGGTTGGTTATCGCTCGAAACCCAGGCCCAGGTCATGGGGTCACGCGAGTCGCTCTCAGCTACGCTCCCCGAGCTATCAAGTGAGAAAGGAGACGGGATTACCTGAGAGGCAGGCCCAGCCTTGTGGTTCCTTTCCAGAGAAATCCTACGCATTTCTTCTTCTCGATGTTTTTTAGCCGCATTAACCAAGCCGAAAATGGCCGGCTTGAGCGGATTTCTGTTCAGCAGTGCATCAGGCGTCCCATCGAGAAATTTCATGGCAATTTTCCACGCTTTCTCAGCAACAGCGGTCCATGTGCCGAAGCGGAGTTGCGCAAACACGATGCAAGCTGCATGCCATTGATGGTAGTTGACAGACACCCAGCTCCATTGCCGTGTGTTCGGATCAGCCTTCCACTTTTGCATTACCTCAAGGCATTTAAAGGCCGACTCAAAAGACTGATGCCTGACCGGTTCAGACGACTTTCCGGGATGCCTGAACAAGTCTCTATGATGGAGAACGAGAGTCAACTGATCCAACAGAACCTCTATGATCAGCCGCATCGTGGTCGTCAGGAGTCGTGGTGGCTCTGGCTGCGCAAGAGTTTCTCCAAGAACCTTGGACCGCAAACGCGCGAGTGACTCCAACCCACGCTCTTTTGCCTTGTCTCCCTCCGCGCTGGTATCCAGAAGATCCGCAACAGAGTTGTGCAGCCTCCGAGCCTCACGCCAGACCGCGCAGTGTGCCAGCATGTAGCTCGACTCCGTGAAGCCCTCTCGGCCAACCGGCTCGTGCGTCATGCCGGGGAATATGTCGCTGTCGTTGACGTTGGCGGGCTCGCGGGTATCGAAAATGCTCTCGGAGAGCGCCATTTCGGGAACATCGCACTGGCTCACGCGGTTGTCCACGAAGCAAATGTGCCACCACAGCCTCCGCCGCATCTCCGAATCGAAGTGGTCGACGTTGGGAAACCTGGACCCGTCGCGATGAAGCCCCATTGACACTGCCGACCGATCCAGAATGCCCGTCATGGTCCACATGGCTCTCACTCCGTAGTGGTGTCCCGCGACATCAAGGTACAGCAGGAACGCTTGGGCAACAGTTATGGACGTGGTGTCCAACACGCCGGCGCTCGCAAGGGATTCTTCTGTTCCTTGGAGTAGGGATGATATCAAGTCGTCCTTGCATTCGTGAAAGTTCTCTTGGACCTGCGCTTATGTTAGCCAAATCCTATTCCAACAGTTTATAAATTCTTACCTCTGCGTCACTGAGGGAAGTGATTGCAGCGAGAGATATCGCAAACATCAAAGCCCGCATTCCAGAGCCTGGAGGCTCAAATCTGCCCTTGGACTGCCGAATGGTCTTATCCATGGTTGGGACGTGTAGAATCTTGATCATCGGGTCAACATTTTCGACGAAGACCTGCCAGATGTAGGGCACTTGGGACGGCAGAGGCTGCGATACGTCCTCCGAGGATCGCCCCTTCATTCTGCAAAAGAAAGGAGTGTGGCTGACGTCCTTGACGGAAACGGCGACTTCTTGTTGGAGCCGTTGGTGGTGATGATCATCTTCAAATGCCTGCCGCACGCTTTTAACCTGTCAAACAAGCATGTTAGATCAAGTATTCATGTGTTTATTAAATTAGGGGCGACTGTACCTCGTTGTTGAAAATGGACCAGAACTTATTCCCAACGTAAAGGCTCCCACCCTCATGTAGATGCAATCTCCCAAAATCATTCACAAGGTTGCCATTGCTACTGTCCGCACCAGAAGCACCAAGGGACGAGTCCCAGTCAACAGGGTCGACGCCCTCACCACTGGGGATGGCTTCGAGGCGCACCTGCGAACTCAGTTTGTCCACGACGTCTTCCAAATATCTTAGACGGTTGATCAATTCAGCGCGCTTCTCCCCCGGCGTGAGTGTGTGAGCCGGTGACGGGTAATGCTGCCGGGTGGGCATCCGGCCAGACACGGGATACGAGCACTCGACGCCGGATTTTGCACAGAGCGCGCAGGGTTTGCGTCTATTGCAGCGAGCCTTGCGGCGGCGACAATGGAAGCAGCTCCACGGGCTGACAATCTCGGATGGCTCGTGATGGTCCCCTGTCCGGCTGGATGCACCGGGTCCTGTGGCCTCGCAGCCAATAGCGATGTTCATTTTTGAAGAAACATTCGGTGATGCTGGAGCTGTATCTGAGGGAGATGATCGAGATGCTCATGGACTCAACGAAAGGGTATACGGACCTCCTGTCTTGGTCCGTCCCGTCAGACAGCGATGGAACGAGGCTTTGTAAGCGACTTTGTGGGTCGAATTAGCAGGCAAATTATAAATAATAAGCTCCGCCGTCTTTTGGTCCGGTTTCCGTGTCCGTCAGATCGGATTCTGTAGCCTCCGATCCCCACCTAGTTCAAGAGCCAAGGGCGACTGGTGAATAATCTGTTGCAGCTGCCAGTCAGCCTATGCGCATTAAACATACTGTGTTTCTTTTTTTATGACGGTCAGGGCTGTTTCTCTTGTGACTAGAAGCCAATTAGTATTCCTTCAGCCCGGTGAATACAAGCAACATCATTTTCAAGTTAGGGTACGTGGGGCGTGCTGAAAGAAGAGTAGACTTGGCTCTGATGCTCGTCAAAATAACCCGGTTTTTCATTATTAAATAGAGCTCATCAACAGGAAACAAGCCTCGGCCTTCACTTGAAGCGACATATCCATGTCATGAACCGATCTCATGCTTCTGCAATCGAATTCCCCATCCACCGTGTTACTAAGGCATTCACACTCTGACTTCCAGCCTATCAAAACGAGCTAAGCGAATCAAAAGATGAATCAGATCCGTACTCTTCAGTCGTCACATCCAGGTCGTTGGACCCGCGGCTCGATTCCCACTTGGCCTGCCACTGGTCCAGAATCCGTCGTTGCTTGTCCGAGGCCACAAACTGGGAGTAATAAGCCGCCAGGACCATCTTCCGGGTTTTATGCTTGAATATCCCAGGGTGCGAAACCACAAACAAGGTGGCCTCATACGCCCTGTTACGATCTGAAACAGTCCCGTCAAGGAAGGAGTATAGGAGCCTGAATGCCGAATCTCGGGCAAGGCTCTTGAAACTGAATGTCCGACGTTCCTCGGGATCATAATCGCCCTTTCCTTGTCTCATATCACTCATCAGGTCGCGGATTTGGCGGCCCTGCAATACGTCGATTCCGAGGCGCTTCATGGAGTTGCAGAGCTCTTGGTAGTCAGCGAGGTTCTCCGACATGTTGCGAAAGACATGGCGAAATCCCTTGTCCAGACCGGCTTGGATGACATCGGAAAAGGGCGCGTCTTCAAGCCCTTTCGGTCCACTTCCATGTGCACGCGTAACAGACTCGTCGCCAGTCCGGGCATCTTGACTTGTGCTTGTCTTTTTGCTATCCCAGCGAGAGTACAAGTCTTCGGGCAGAATCGGTGCAGCAGCTGTCTTTTCAATCTGCAATTCATCTTGAGATACGTCACACTTGATCGCGACGCTTCCGGCACATTCTTTAGCTGTCGACACGATTTTCTGGATTAGCCCGCCGAGCATCTTGAGGTCCTGCTCGTGTTCAGACTCCCAGGCTTTGATCTCAGCGGTAATATCTTCAACCTCTGGTTTCTGAAAGGTGCCTCTGTTATGATAGGCTCTGACGAGCATGGGCGTCTGAGAAACCCACAGCTGGACCGCGACATCTGAGATCTCAAGGCGCCTCGTCATTGCACGGGTTTTGATTTCCAGCGTGGATTCAATAGGCACCTCCTTGCCGACATGGCACATAGATAGCTTGGATCCAGCAATGGCGTGGCCAACGGTGGTAGGAGAGACAGACAAGGTGCTCATCATGCCAGAGAGGCTGGTCTCGTCCTGTGTCTGGCGTGGACTGGCGTCGGGAGAGGGAGGGGTCTTCATGTAGCCGTCCGTTTCATGCCGCACGACGAATTTCAGCCCGCCGAAGGAATACGAGATGATTCTGTGATGTCCAGTGCTCCCCATAATCTCAGGGGACGTGTACAACTTCTCGAAGTTGTGGCCAAATCCCCGAAACTGGTGAGGCTCTATGATCTCGTAGGTCGCCGCTTCGTCGCGAGAGAAGATGATGGTTTTGCCAACGACTTCGGCCTTAATCGTAAATGGCTCGGGGCGATACCCGTTCAGCTTTGGGTTCACAAAGTACAGCAGCTTCCGGATATTATTGCGATCTGTAATGACGTCGACCGAGGAGATGTCGAAGGTTGGGTTGGTATGGAAGAGGGATCGGAACAGCGGCTCGAGGGGACTATCCGGGTGTCTGGCGGCATTCTGGGCGATGTACACAAAACCGCAATCTTGTGGGACTTTCTGGGGATAGTTTGAGGGCGTCCACGAAGGCGGGCTTCCTGGCACAGCGATGGTGGGCTCGGCTGCTTCGATCCAGTTGTACGAGGAGAGGTGGGTTACATCAGTTATGGAAGAGGCGGTAGTAACTGATGATCCCAAGGCTTGGAGATCTGAGCGGGCGATGGTGGCCATGGCTTTTGATGATTTCAAAGCAGCCCGAGATTCTCAAGTTGGCATGTTTTGAAGTTGTGAGGAGGAGGTGAGAACGGCATTTGGAGTTCAGGTTTGACGTCAGAGAAGGCTGCGAAATCGGTACCTGAGGCACCAACTGCTCTGCCACCGCCATTCAGAGAAAATCACATTTGTGTGACATCAAATTTCAATAGCGAACACCAACATGAGGCTATGGGCCTTTGTAAGCGCCATGTTGTGTTGTGCACATGTTGGCTGTGGAGCAAATACACATAAGCAGAAGCCAACAAGCGTCAGCTGGTCCGGGTTCCATGTCCGTCAGTCCGCTCCTGCAGCCTCCGACCCCAACCCACGACGGATCAGTGATCGATGGTCCGTTGCGGGTCAAAGATTCCGTGCCATCCAGGGTCAGATCTTGAGATGAAAATATCATGGATTCTAATATAAATTAAACCAACATGACACTCCAAACAGCATCTAAACATCCATCACTCTCACGCCAACCACATCACACAATCACCCAATCTACAAAACCCCAACATAAACACCATGTCTGAGCTACAGCCTCTTATCGTCTATGGATGCGGCCACACCCCCAACCCTTGGAAGGTTGTTATCATTATTGAAGAACTCGGACTCCCGTATGTGGTCGAGCAAGTCGACATCCGAACCATCAAGGACGAACCGTACATCTCGCTCAATCCCAACGGCCGTCTCCCTGCCTTTAAGGACCCCAACAACAACGACATCGTGCTCTTCGAAGTAAGTGACAGCAAACTTCTGAATAAATGGGGATGAAAGGATAAAAGAAATTATTCGATGAGCTAACTGAATCAGTCCGGAGCCATCATCGACTACATAATCGAAGTCTACGACAAAAAGGCCCTGCTTCACTATGCCTCCGGGCCCGAGAAGCACATCACCCGCTGCTGGGAGCACTTCCAGATGAGCGGACAGGGCCCGTACTTTGGCCAGAAGATCTGGTTCGAGAAATTCCACCCCCAGCGGCTGCCGACCGCGATTGAGCGCTATCTCAACGAGATGAAGCGTGTCATCGGTGTTGTCGACAGTCACCTTGCCAAGAAGGGCACCGACTACTTGGTGGGGGACAAGGCGACATATGCGGACCTCATGTTCCTTCCGTACTTTACCGCTTTGCCAGGCCTGGTTCCGGAGTTGGATCTCACCAAGTATCCGCAGTACAACGCTTGGCTGGAGAGGCTGGTCACTCGCCCAATTACTTCAAAGGTCTTGGCGAGGTTGGGGGAAGCCGCTGCCAAGGGGAACATTCCCGCGGTGAAGCAGGTGGCAGTTGTCGAGGTCTAGGCTGCGGTCGTCGACCTGTTGGTATCATGGCATTGCTGAGGGATGTGTTTGGTTAAGCAGCCATGTTTGGCATATTGCGCTAGAGGCTGTATCACACACATGTATTTACCCCTATTGATATTTAACGGTCTAGACTAATAGACCATGAATTCACAAATGGATTATTACTCATTTGTTTTATAAGATATGCCTCGTCGCCGTGGTGATCCATCCAGGCTCTAGGGTAGCTCAGCATTCACCTGAATGCTTCACCGTGATTAATCACCAAATGGAATGACGCTACTGCGAAAGGGGCTGTGGCTGTGGCTGTGCTAGAAATAATCGGGCCTTATTACTGTTAGCAGGAGGGCTTTGCTGAGACAGGCCAATCTCGAGCTGTTTTAGACTCGTGGCCCGTCTCCCGCGTACCGAGTAATGGCCATCAATACTCTATTATTTGTACAGGCCGGTCTAGCCCTTGCATTTGGGCATCAAGGTTGGGTCCGTCAGCCGTCTGTGCCCTCTCAGTGCTGACTCCTCTTCATCCGGCTCTCCTCCATCTCAATCACCCGTTATTACTTTTTGGCCTGTCACTCACGCACAAACTTGATTTCTCCCCTATCCACCCCTTTTCCTCCGCTCGCCACAATCCATGAGACTCCCGCTCTGGACGTCTGTCCATTTATCGCGCAGCCATCCGGTACCGTGGATCACCATCTTGGCCGATAATTGCGCATTTGAGCCTTGAATGATGGGGTAGGATTCATTCATTGCACTCCAGCACTCCCAACAATCAAACTGATGGGTTCGCCTGTCGACTGTCGCCAGCGCCCACCTCAACGGATCGCCATTGCAGAGTAAATCCACTCTTGAGGGCAGATTTCGTGCCATGTGCATCTGTCCGCCAATGCTGGTTCCTCTCGCGTAGGTTCGGATTGGCCAAGAGATTGCGCGCATCTGCAGCTCCTTCATCATGGCCCACTTCCCGGAGGCAGGCGGCGACAAGGGGAGAGAGAGAGAACCCGATGCCCCCATCTCCAATGAACGCTATCGCGACATGCAGGCAGATGGCGGCAATCCATCGAAGAAGGCCTCCCCTCCGACGTCTATCAAGGCTTTCGCTGCCGCTCGTCGGCGAGAACGTGCAGCTTCCATCACCGACAGTGACTCCACCGACTCTGAAAGTGAGACGGCGTCGCTTCGCCGGATCCTGTCTCCATCCAAGATCAGCTACATGAGCGACAAGTTTCCCACTATTGACGACAGCTCTGAGAGCTCCTCTTCTGAGGAGCCCGATGAGGCCCGTGTTCGTCTCGAGCGAAATCAACCCCAGCAGCGTCTCTACATCGACTTTGACTTCCTCGAGAAATCCATCTATGCCAACCGGCCGACAGGTGTCTCGGATGAGGTAAGCTCGCCGCAAGGAGGCAATCTCCTCTCAGTCCCTGGAGCCAACGACATACCTTCATCGCCCAGGGTCAAGGCAAGGTCAAACCTGTTCAAGCCAAACCGATTCAGCTTCTTCTCCTCCTCACTGGACTCAACCATCCACGCCCCCGAGCTGGCTGACCTTGTTTTACCCGGGGAGGAAATCCGCAGCCTCTTCACCATCCCGGAGGATGAAGGGGGCGCGTGGTGGCTCGACTGCCAGAACGCGACTAAGGACGAGGTGCAGAACATATGCACCGCCTTTGGGGTCCACCCGCTCATCATCGAAGACATCGTGACCAAGGATGCGCACGAGAAAATCGAGATGTTCTCTTCGTACTACCTCGTCTCCTTCCGGTCATTCTATACCGTCACGGAGGATAATGGTGGCGTGGAATACGAGCCCTTCAACATGTACATCCTCGTATTCCGCCAAGGCACCCTGAGCTTTAGCTTCGCCCCAAACTCCCACGCGCTCTACGTGCGTCAGAGGATAACCGCCCTGAAGGAGCATGTGTCACTGAGCAGCGACTGGATTTGCTATGCTCTCATGTAAGTTTCCTAATTCCCGTCTGTTTTATGTTCGCATCATGCTCACTTCCCTTAGTGATAATATTGTAGATGAGTTTGGGCCAGTCATCAGGCAAATCGAGCATGATGTGGACACCCTCGAGGACGACGTCTTCATCATGAGAGACTTCGACTCAACCTCCTTCCTCCTCCGCATCGGCCAGGTCCGGAACAACATCATCGCGCTGCTGCGCCTCCTCGGAGGCAAGCCCGACGTCCTCCGCAGCTTCACGAAGCGCTGCAACGAGAACTACATCATCACCCCGGGGATGGACATCGGCATGTACCTCGACGACATCCAGGACCACGTCGTCACCATGGTGGCCAACCTCGGCCACTTCGAGAACATCCTCTCCCGCGCCCACAGCAACTACCTCGCGACCGTCACGGTCAACGGCCTCAACCAGGGATCCACCACCAACGACGTGCTGGGCAAGATCGTGCTGCTGACGTCCATCTTCGTGCCCCTCCATCTCGTCAGCCTCGTCTTCGGGATGAACGTCCCCGTGCCTTTCAAGGGTGTTGCCCACTCGAATCTAGCACCGTTCTTTGGTATCATCGGCGTCATGGCAGTGATGGGTGTTGTCGTCATGGCCTGGGCGCGTCACAATCGGTGGATTTAATAGTGTGCAGTCTATAATTTCTCTTTTGTACAATTCACGTATCACTTTTAGAACATGGAAAGATAGAGAACCATTCTCATTTGATAACATCCGATCCAGCCGAATAAGCATTTTTTTTCTTTACCGTCGCCAGTCCTGTAGCTTAGGCAGATTCAGGGCTCGCATTTACAGCTGACCCTGGTGAGGAAGGCCCAGCTCATCGGTGAACGGGTCGTCGTCGGCCTCGCGCACGATGATCTCTGCACCGATGCGGATGGTGTTGTAGAGCTTCTCGCCATGCCACTTCTTCACCCAGGCCATCATGAGGTCAATGCCGGCGGTTTCCTAGAATAGAATATTAGTCCTATATCCGAAACATGTTAGGAACGCAGATGCGACGTACACCCGAGGAAGACCAGATGTTATCCTCGATAACATATCGGGCGGGCGCCACCCAGGTCACATTATTTCCGTGGGCGGTGACGAGCGACCAGGCATTCTTGTTGGTGGTCACGCGCCTGCCGTCGAAGATACCCGCGCGGGCGGGGAAGATGGCACCCGTGCAGATGGTGATGAGGTAGTCCAGCTTGGGGTAGACCTTGGCGATGTAGTCGTCCACGTAGGTGAGCGACGCGTCCCTCGCCGCGGCGCCGCCGGGGACGATCAGCACGTCCAGGTCGAGGTCGTCCTCGAAGCTCGCGGCGCCGACGAACTCGGGCGTGAATGTGGAGTTGTACTTGTTGCCCATGGGCGGCGCGACGCCCACGTTGCCGCCGTCCGGGGTGATGATCTTGACACTGATGTGGGCGTTGCCGGCGACGAAGTAGAGGACCTCCAGGGGGCCGTAGATGTCCAGCATGCTGGCGCCGGGCATGGCGATGACGCCGTAGTTTACGGGGAAACTCTCTGTATCAGCTACCAGTTAGATCTTCAATCCATGTCCTATTGAAGGAATGACTGTTCCTACCGTTTCGTGTGTGGAGCTCCGCCGCTGCCGAGGGCAACAGGCCTGCCACTGCTGCGGCAAGTGTAAAGAGAGATTTGGCAAGCATGGTGGACTTGATTCTCTGTACCTGGAATGGATGAAGAGGCGAATGCAGATATTATTGAAGTGAGGTAGGAATAGAGTGGCGAGCGAAACCGATGGCTTTATAATCCGATCTTGGCCCTATACGCCAAACGACCACCCAGGGTGGTGTTTCACCAAGAGTGGTTTTGAGCAAGTTTCAGTTGTTTCTGCTCCTGTCGAAGGACTCGAGCCCTGTGCTCTGGCATTGCTGGGCGGTGGATCTCAGGTTTCTACCCCTGAACATCTGGGAGGAAGCCCACGCGCGTGGTGGCACAGGGGTTCTCCCACCCAATCGATCCTCGGAAATAGAGTAGAATGTCCAGACGAAACCGATATAGGAAGATCGCGCGCGCTGTAGCCCCGCTTGCTAGTTACAGATGTCACGGCCATTGGAATAGAGTTTTACATTGTAAACGAAACCGCGGGACCCTGTCGGATATATCCCCTAGCGGGATCTCGACAAATGAGATGCGATGAAGGCAGAATCGATCTGCCCTTCATATGCAACAGGAGGGAAAACAATCTCGGCAACAATCTTGGCAACAATCCTACAGCTGGGAGCTTGGCAGGGGGGGTTACTCTGCTCTGCTCACTCTTTATACATTATCCAACGGTTATGTGCATAGGGTTCGTGATCGTGTGGAGCTTCAGTATTGAAAGAGTAATCTGTTGCCAACCATTTCATCTCTGAGCACGACATGTCTCGCAATCATTCGGGGTGGGTTGCCTCTCAATGACGATGCGATGGATTAGACATCAAACTCACCACTCATATTGTCCTCATATGGGGTTCCCATACTATACTTTAAGATTTGTCGGCTGCTCCGGAAGTGTCAACTGAAACAACCTAAAGGAGGTGAGGTGGTCGGATTGCGACCAATCTAAATCAGCTCTTGACTGGCACCCTGATGCTTAGCAGCTATCTTCTTTTTCTTACACGAAGCTCGAAGACACAAAAGCCGCTGTCTTTCATAACTCTGACGTTGAATTGAGGTACCGAGTCAACCAAATATTTCCCCCATCAGCCCACGTCATGTTACGGCATGATATATCTCCCATTAACTAGAACTACGAAAATGACGGAAGCTGCTATTGTTTAAACGGTCTCTCTAGGAGAAGCCAGCGATGGAAGATGCTACACCAATAGCACAATATGACAGGGTTGATGTGGATGGCTAAAAATTCGAATGTGTTGCAAGTTACAGCCTGGTGGCGTGCCTGCTACCGGCCCTCGTGATGTCTTACAGATATTGTTGTATGCCGTTACTCTAAACGCACAGCTGAATGAGAGGCGAAGCGCCCCTGGTCATCCTCTCCGACTGAGCGTGTGCTCAGAGGTACATGAACCTCGGCGACGGGCCTCACTTTCACATACGACCATACCCAGAAGAGAACTCGGGATCCCGTCCGCTCTCCCATAGATAAGCTTCTGAGGGGTGGATTAGTAGTTGGGTCGGTGACGACCAGCGAATACCCGCTGTTGTATGTATTTTTGTTTTGTCATTTTATGGTGTTGTGTGGTGTGGGGTTTATGAGCCCTCGCGATAGCTTCATCCACCACATACGACCATACCCAGTTGAAAATACGGGATCCCGTCCGCTCTCCCATAGTCAAGCAATTGAGGGGCGGATTAGTAGTTGGGTCGGTGACGACCAGCGAATACCTGCTGTTGTATGTCTTTGTTTTTGTCTTTTTGGTTCTTTTCGTCTTTTTGTCGTCTCTATGGTCTTTCTATGGTCTTACCACGCAAAGCGAGTTATTGATGCGAAGGTAGGGTCTAACTAACACAGGAGAATGTGGTTTGGCAAGGCATGCAAGCCGATTCAACTATTGCAGGTTATTCTGGCGTGTCGTCTAATGTAGATCGCCTTTAAACGTCTAATGAGCTGTAGTCTTGGACGAAGCAGCAACACGGAATCATGGCTTTAACATTGCTTGCAAGGCGTTGTCTGTCTATCGAATACTTCTCCTAGAAGTTCCTTCCACGAACACATGTTTACCGGTTCCCTTTCAGTTCAGACCAGTAACTGAGCTGCTATTCTCTGCGTTGCGCCGACCTCAATCTTGGACATCCCCATCCCACCTGCCTGCGAATTAGAGCCATTCAACCTCATTAACGGAAGCCACAGACTTTCTTATATACTCGTAGTAGTTCATGCAGCCCCGCGTAGGGCACCAATTAACACCAATAGCTCCAACATCGTCGGTCAGTTCATAAGACTTAGGCTCCAGAGCCTGGAACCAAGCTGGCGTGACGTGATCTAGCCATTCAGTCCGCTCATCCGTAGCATAACCCAACTCAATAAGACGCCTATAGCGGAACACCAAGCATCGATTGTCTCCGGTCACACAAGGGTCGACGAAAATCTGCAACTGGGAATTCCCATATTCATGGTTGGCTATAAACTCCACCACCGTCCTGTGCCCATCTGTCCGACTTCCAGAATCATCGGCCGGGCTTCGAAGTGCTCTGAGACTAAACTCTGGGTCAGCTCGACAGCTGTCTATCTTGAGAGCATCGGGCATGGGTCGAGGCCAGTCTGGCAATTGCTCCATGCCCTCAAAGTCAAGACAGTCGCAACGGTTTGGGTCGAAGCAGCCCATTTCTGGCAAGCGTCCCGGGGGCAGCTTGGGAGCGATAAATTGTGCTACTCCCTTCCGGAATTGTCCCAGCTGTTTGCACAACACTGCAGGTTTAATCGGCGCGTCTCCCTCTACGAGCATATGACCCTGCCAAGTCAAGCTCAACGCAAGGCTGTGGCCCCCGGTTCCAAATATCTCAGCAGATGGAGAGACGTTGGGGCATTGAAGTTTCATGGCATCATTGTGATGCTCAGGATGGTGGTCAGTGTGGTCACAGCGGCTGAGCTGGATTTTGGGCTTGAATTCGCAATCAATATTGGTCAGCTGTTCTGCCGCCTTCGATACCACCTCCCAAGTCAACACTTTATGATCACACAGACGAATATGTCCCTCTCTTCCAATACAGATGCGGCCATCTATCTTGCGTCGCTCTTCTGGGGAGAAGAGGGCTAAAGGATGGTGTTTCTTACAGCCCGAGCAGTAGAGAGACTCTGTGCTCAGTTTCTCAGCCCTAGAGGCCCAGTCTGATTTCGCCCGCATAGAGCGACAGATATTACAAAGAGCTTGAACGTCTCTTTCAAGGCGAGAAAGCAGTGCAGGACCGGATAGTTTAGGCCAATATGAACTATCAGGGCTCAGCCAATTTTGGTATTCCGACCTCCAATGCCAGAACTTCTCCACGTCATGACTCTCTACGAAGCTAAAATCGCAGTATAGACGTAGGAAGAGTCGAGATGCCCGCCTCAGGCACTGCATGTCAAGAGGGCCAAGAAACTTCATGATTCCGATGAGGATATCCTCTGGAAGCTGACAGAGGCGGCTGCAGGTCAAGTTGTGGGATGCAGCGGCCATGAGAGGGTCCATGGACATGATGTCAACAGAGCATTCACAGGAGCCCAATTCGATTGATCTGTGTGCTCTCCATGTGTTCGGCGGACAAAAGGACTCTTTCGTACACGCGCCTTGGCCCTGTCCGGACTTTATAGCTAGTGATTTCAACTGGTTGACCATGGCATCTGCGCGACCTTTCGCAGAGATACTGGGCCTTTGCCCTGTTTCTTCGTCGGTCGACGAGGTGGATTCGTCTTCCCATGAGGTGGATGGCTGACCTTCCTGAAGAGGAGTGTCTGAAGGGGGATCTTTGAAAGGGTTTGACGGCCTTCTGGGTAACGTCATGATTGGATGAAAGATTATTTGAATTTAGACCCGTATTCAAAATTATGAGCAAAAATACCGGGCTTATATTTGTGAGTCCAGACTGGGACGATGAGGAATAAGCGTGAGTTGGCTAAGCAGATCTGCTCATTTCTACTCTCGGACGAGAGCAATGCCCAGGCTTTATAGCACAACCTTCGGTGCCGGGTCAAGCCATAAGTATGAAAGTTTATTTCAACCTCGTCGGGCGGAAGTTTCCTTGGAATTCTATTCAAAAGTCGTATTCGGGCACAGCAGATAAAGTTTGCCACGGGAGAGCCTTTGCCGGGTCAATGCGTCAAAATCTTTCGCCAGTCAAGTCCTGGTATTACAGAATCAATTCGAAGTCCATAAGGAGGGATAGGGATTTAGAGACATGAGCTCTCCATTATTACGGATCATCTTGACGCTTGACGAGGCTGACCGGACAAGTCTGACTGGTACCGGCTCTCCTATTTAACTATTTGATATATGTAAAATAACATGCTGACTCATTCGGCTTCGAGATTTCTGGCCCTTCTCTACAGGCTAAAAATAGCCTAAATATGGCTTTCGGTGGTGTTTTTGGTGTTTTGTAGCATCTTTTCCTTCGATCTAGGGAAAGTTTTGCCAGCCACGACTACATTTGAGTGGACAACGCTGAGGGAAGAGGTTAATCTTGGAATATGACCTCGCTCATAGGTTCCTAGTCATGGGTTAATAAGTATAAACAAAGTTGAAATTGATCTCAGCAAGGACCATGCCATTATCCTCCCCCCCTAGAGTACATTTGTCTGCAGTTTTCCTCGTGATATGTGTACTAAGAAAACCTCAAATACGACCATACCCTGGTGAAATCAAGGGATGCAGTCTAGATTTTACTTGAAAGGCCTTTGACTCTTTTTATAGACTCCTAACTATCTACTTTTACCTATCAATGTTTCCACGAATGGAGGTGATACACCGAAAAGCTGTGTGTCTGTGAATAAAAGTCCAATCTACCCTCTTCTCCCTGTCCTTCATCTATTTCGAGCATTTTTAATAAAATAATATCCGAATTCTTTTAGATAGGCTATATCTGAGACTGCCTCACTACCCTCAATCGTTTTAAGTTGATTGAAGAATCTTGCCAACTCTACTTACCTTTTCTGATCCCGAACTATCTCGAGGCTAGCTTTTCAAGAGCTGCTTTTTGAGATGCTGTTTTCTTAGCAACTCGCGTCGTACAAGTCCCCGCGTAAGCATCCACTAATTGTCGACGTCTGAGAGGGGTCGGTCGGGGTAAATTCGTCCGCCCTCAGGTAGCATCATGATGTAAAGCTGAGACAGCTGCGGGGTTATAAATCAGTGCCCAAACCTCGATTCCTCGTCGCCATCCATAACATTTATCTGTCCTGCAACTCATGTCCCAGGCTGTCTTCATCAACACGATGCCTGTAAGCTTTCTATCATTGCCTTACCTCGTCCGCAAGCGGGTATACTTCTTTGCCCACCTGACACGAGAATGCCCGGTCACTATAAAACCAGCTTCATGGGTAGTGAATAATCCCCCATATTTCTTAGATGTAGTAGAGTTCTCAAGATGCCAATTTCACTGGGATCAGGGATCCGCACCCCCGACCGTTAAGAGATCCCCTAAATGCGACTGCCCTGATTTCCCAAAGCAGCTCTTGCTTCTCAATAGGCTTCTTTATACAGAGGTCCAAGCGATACTCTATGGCGAGAATAAGTTCATTATTCGCTCACATCAAGCTGGTGACCTCAAGATATTCGAGACGCTGGCAAGTAGCGCCATCGCCAATTTGCGGTATCTCCTGGTCCGGCTGAATAGTTGGCCTTGCTATCGTGGACATAGCAATGCCGACTTGGACGATAATAGGTGCCTTGTATGTCAAGCTTCAGTTTCCTCCAGCGACCCCGAGATTTCAGTATGGGATATCGACTCAGAGCCAATAATTACGCAGTGGTCGGTTGTTTGCGCTCGCCTCGCATCCTTGGTTATCCCTGGACGTCTGAGTCTAGAATTCATCTGCGATGTCACGGATGTAGCAACAGCTGAGCAGATTCTGCGGCCATTGTATACGCTCCCACAACTCAAGGAGTGTGCTATAAGGCTTGGTCGACATCATGATCAATCCCTTAGCTCTCTGGCTCGATTGGCTGCAACGCGACTGACGACTGACGACTCCGGTGATACCCCCAGAGAGAACGCACCATCAAGCTTTCGCTTCAACTCTCTGCCACCAGAGATTCGCCACCAGATTTTGTCCTTCACGGACCTTGGGCTAGATGGTCCATATAGGTCTCAGTGGGAGTATATTTCCATCGAGAAGGGGAGATGCCACCAATCGCAATACCGTGCAGCTTTCGAGTTTAGAAAAATAAGATGCTGTCTAAACTGCTCCTTTACGGACCTTGATTGCTTGTGTCCAATGCGATATGCATCTTACTCGCCTCATTGCCAGTGCAGAAATCTCCCTCTCGACCTTCTGCTTGTTAGCCAACAGATCTACCATGAGGCTTCCGCAGTCCTGTATTCGGCCAATGTTTTTAGATTCCGTGGCCCATTTCTCGATACTCTGGGGATGCTTCAGTCACTCAATCCGAGCAATTGCATTCATTTTAGGCGACTTGAATTCTACATTAATGGGATCCAGAGTATTCGATGGAGGGAGCTTGAGAGCACATGGTTCCCTCTGTTATCTTTTATTCGCAAATATTGCGATGTGTCTCAACTTCGCATCACAATTGATTGTGTTCGCGATAGTATGTTACCTAACGATGAACAGAGGCCGAGAGATCTATACACCGGGTATAAGACCCTAGTACAGGGAGTTAAATCTAGACTTCCCGGGTTAATGGATTTTCATCTTACACTTGGGGCGTTCTACCAGCTGGAACCTGAGTGGGAGAAATACGTTATGGGTGCGAATTACGATAGTGCGAAGGGAAATCGAGATTCTAAGCCGGACTATTCTCTGGGAAGGTCGTCTGCTGATCCGGACCAGATAAACGCACCATATTGGCATAGAGAGTTTTAAAGTTTCGTCAATGAAGTCATGATTTCATGAAAATGAAGAGCAATAATTACTCTCTCCACAAGAGCCTGCCTGGGTGCTTTCTAAATGACCAACAGTTGGTCTCTTAAGATAATCTACTTTGTGCGATCATCTGAGTCCCCTGCCCCTAAATATCCTGACCACTCTTTTATATTTTAATAGCTCGATAGAGGCCTTTTGCCTCACAAGGGCTTTGGCCGGTCCTGATTGAAATGATAACACACACACACACATACACACACACCAATATAACCCAGGGGAATGGGATAGAATAAAAAGGCTCCACTCAACTAGACGGCATCCCTTACTTTCACCAGGGTAAAGTCGTATGTGAGGTTTTAGTGGTACATAGATCTATGAGGAAAACTGCACACAGTATAGGTTTAAAACCCAACCATCTTCAAAACAGCCACCATTTCACAGCAGTTACAAAATGATCTTTGTTTGGGTGTTGTGTGGTCTTAGCTTTCAACTAGTTTGTGCATTCTAATCCTCCCTAGACCTATCTTATTTGATTCTTTCACGCATCGTACAAAGCAGGCATGTAGCGGGTCACTAACGTCGTGAGAGTGGTTCTTTCTTATTGATCTTTAGCTTATATGTAGGTAAGGTCGTAGGTGAACCCCAGCATATATCCGAGCCAGACTTGTCCTTGACAGGAATGGCTGGATGCGCTTGGCATTAAGGCCATGTGTGCGGGGATAGTCTCTGACATAGATAACGCTGACGCACTAGAGGGAAGTGTCAAAAGGCAAGCCTAGCCTAGTAGGCTCAGGAAGCCTGGCAATTTCAGTTCCGCTCATATCGATCATTGCTCGATATCAAGAATGAACAAACTTCGAGGTGGTGTTCCGATCAGCGAAGTGATGAATTTCCATCTGTGCTTCACCAACCATGTTCGAAATCACTCATTGCCACTATCTCGCGAATGCGATGAAAGCGAGAGGGGAAGAATCCAGTATGTGCGGTGAATACGAAATGCAGGCGGACGCCATGCAAAGTGAATGGTGATCTGATAGGTTGGTCACTTTCAGCTGCTGTTCAGCCCAGCCACAAACGTCACGGGTTCAGATTAATACGAGAATTTCTTCCAAGATCATGCGCTGTGCCGACTACAGGGCTGCTATCCTGGAATACATTTCCACCTACACCGACAACCGCTTATAAGCGAATCGTGATTTGGTTGGAAGCCGACGGGCCGGTTTTGTCGTGAATAAAAGAGCCTCCATCCCGTAGCTGCAACTTGGCGAAAGGCAATCGCCACTCAATTTAATTCACACTTCACTCCACTGAACTAAGAATCAAGCCTCCCAAGTTTTATTTCTATCAGCTTTACCATACACTATGCATCCAATAGTTGCTTTCCTAGGCGTCTTCGCCTCGATTGTCGTCGCCAGCCCCCCAGTCACCTCCAGCCTCGCAACCACCACTCCCCCCCCTCCCAAATACACAGTGCCATGTACCATGGGAGACGACTCCCCTTGCCCAACATCGTGGTTCTGTACTCCAACGGAGATCTGCCAAACCAGCACAGCCTGCGGAGGCCTTTGCATCGACCCTCCAACCTACCCACCCGTCATCCCCTGCACCGTGGGCAACGACGCCCCTTGCCCAACGGGCAGCATATGTACGCCGACAGAATACTCTACTTCTGGTCTCCCTTGGGGTGGTCAATGTATTTCCACCTATGTCTCCCCCACACAGTGCACCATTGGCGATAATTCTCCCTGTTCAAGTGGGAGCACTTGCACGCCGACTATGGTTTGTACTACCAATTCGCCTTGCGGTGGAGCGTGTATCGCAACACCAACCTCGATACCCGTCACTCGATGTATCGTTGGGCACAACCGACCGTGCCAACCAAAGGGCACCTGCACCCCTACGATGACATGTAGACAGGGAAGGCCATGTGGCGGGGCGTGCATCAACACGACTCCCATTACTTCCAAGACAAGGGAATGCTAGGTTGGAACTATCTTCTATCCCCCTTCTTTAGTCACAGCTTGATATGATGGTCAGGATAGTTGGATACGATTTTCTCAGTTTATGATAAGTTGGACGATCAGTTTGGACACTGCCAAGAAGACACAAGGTCATTGATAACCATGATTTACACCTTACTGCGATGTGAGCGAAAGGGATTGGGCATGTAGTGGTAGTACACATCAATTTGTAGTACCGTTGCTAAGTCATTTCCTCATCATAATCTGATTCTGGATTTGAGCCTTGACCGAGTGCCTCAGCGACTTCCATCCTCAAATTCATCTGCCTCATCACCTAGTTATGTCGTGAATTCCTGGTATCTTCAATTCCATCTTCTTCTTATCCATATGTTGGAAGAATGTTGCTGTCAAAAACTCTCCGCATGTTATATAGCTCAGCTCTTTAGCTCTATCCCATCCATCAAGAAAGGAATAGGACTGGAAACTGTGACGAAAAGAATGTTAGCTTCGCTCCAATCTGCCGTTGCTCAACGTAAGAACAAAGAGCATAACGAGCCAGCACATTTTATTGGCCTCATCCGCGTCATGCAGCAGCTCAACAATACCGGCCATCCACATGATGCCGGCCAATATGCCTCGGTCCGCGGCATCATTCATCACTCTTGTAAGCTGGCCAGATAACGTGATATTTAATTGCCAAGGCTCTAAGACCTGATGAATTGAGCCGTAGCCCGGGAAGCCGTTAGGGTGTAACCAAAGACCATGGTATAGAAATTTGCGAGTATGAAGATGAGGTTGCCGCTTATAGCAGATGGAAGGCGAGACCCTATGTCTAAACTAGTCCTACCGAGCGAAACTCATTACTCCGCAATGGCGGCGCAATAAAGTAAAGCATCGGATATATGGGACACCGAACATCTCGCGTTGATAGTTCCTCGGGGTCCATCTGTCTTGTCAATATCCTGTTGGACAGTTCGATTGGCCTGTGAAGAACGTCACCATACCATGGACCCAAAAGAAGAACGATTTGACGTCCTTCGGGTCTTTAACGCCGCATGACGTCCAGTCCATTTCGAGCGCAAGGAAATGACCAAGCTCTTCCAAAGTCGCAGGCTCCAGTGTCACCAGGAGCTTATTGAACATGCTGGCTTGGAAAACGGCGTCGACGGTACATAAATACGGAAAGCACAACCAGCAGCGGTGGCATATGCTTTTGTACTTGCTCAATAATGACTCATCCGCGTTGCCGTTGATGTCACCCAAGACACCAAGCATGCGTATAGTCATGGCGTGGTATAGAAGCATGCTCAACAGATCCTCTGCTAGCTTCAAGGATGAAAAGTCGAACCTGCGGCCGAGGAAGAAGCTGGGATCCTGGCTCTCAACAATAGATCCTGAAGCCAAACACGACTTCCAGGCTTTATTCAATACGTTCCCAAGAGCCATTTCGAGCTTCTCTATCTTTTGTGTGAGAGTGGCCTTCTGCCACTCCGCATCAGGAGGATTCTGTCGCAGTTCGCTTATCTTTGGGAGCCAGTTCTTGGTGTGACGGAGAGCGATCCGCAAGACAAGAGCTCTCCCTCTGTTAATGAGTTTGTCTTGGTGTTTAGCATCGTCAATGACCCCATCGTCGTCGTCGTCATGTGTTGTGAACTCATCATCATCATCATCTTTGTCTTCGTCTTCTATTTCCCAGTGGCTACCATCCCCCCAATATGGGGATTTTCCAGTTGTCTCGCTGCTGGGCGTACCGGCTGCGGGTTCGGCGAAATCTTCACTGGAGCTATACTTGGCCACATGATACTGCGATACGACTTAGTCAACGAAGTTGGAAAGATGTGTAGAACTCACCATCGTGTTGACTGATCCCCGGACCAGCCAGATATGTAGGTCATCATCTGGATTTGGAGGGCCAATTTGCTTCATCACATGCCGGATTCCAAGTTGGTGACGCACTGATTCTTTCGGCTTAGAGAGTCTGCAGGGGTACATTAATCGTTCCAGCAGGACCATTGCGCCCAGCGTCTCAACCGTGTACAGTTGATCATTGTTGGTTGCTTTTCGCAAACTCTGGATTGCGTCACCGTATATTTTGCCTGCAAGCACCATCGAAACGGGTCGACGGTAGTGGTGGCATTGGATCCAAGCATGGCAATAGAGCGCTACGCAGTCCCTCAAACACTCACTTTGTGACATCCTCGTGGGACAGAACTCCAGAAAGTGAAGGGTCCCAAAGGTCGAAGTTCCCCTTGTGCCCAGGAGACTAATCAACAGAGACCCAGTGCTATCCACGGCGGTTTGAAGCTTAGAACGGGGAACTTGGAGACGAAAGCTACCCTCTACCCCGTTCCCACCACGATATGACTTCAACGGGCCTTGGCTTACCAGAACCCGCGGCTGAGGGGATTCGGATCCTTCGGCCAACGCCAATTTATGCGAAGGGGAAGTAGACCGGTAGCCATTTCTGACGAACTTGACCAGGGACGAAGGCCCTGGGCATTCGAGACCCTTTCGAATGCATTGTGTGCATGCTGGCCATTTTTTATCGCACTGTGGACAAGCGGTGATGAGGACGTGTTACTGCGACAGAGTGGCCTGAAACACGTACCTTGGTTCTTTTCTGCTTGCAAGTCTGGCAGGCTGTTGATCTGGGAGCGCTAGGCATTGTTCATGGCCACATCAGTCTCTCAACTGGTGTCTCGACTGAGCCAAGGTAAGGTGTCGGTGGTTTATCACAACGAGCAAGTTGAGCATACGTAGTACCCAGTTTGACTCTTTAGCTTAGGGGCTTCGGTTTCAGTGATCAGCCAATCAGCACTGCCTGCAACATCTTCCCGAAATAGTCTAGAGCCACCGGCGGGGCTTATCCTCCTTTAGGAATGGCGCCAATTTCTTGTTGGGTGTCTAAATTCCGCATCTGACCACCCAGACTGACCCCTCTTCTCTCTTCTGACTGCCAACCACACGCTCCATCCAGCAGTCTAGAGCAATCCAGTTGCTTGACGAAAGCAACTATCCCTTTTGCCATGCCGACCTATCCGTCCATACGATCTCACATTCTCAACGAATAGCTTTGTCGCGAGTCCCTGGCTTCTGCGTCCGTACGATCGTTCCAGCCGCAGTGTCCGACCACGAAAGCCTCTCAGGGTTACGAGCCTGTCCGACCGAACCGACCGCAATACACGATGAATACAATCCGAAAGCTACTGTTCTGACGAAGCTGGCCTTGGTCTTGTTGGCCTGGCTTCGCAACTATTGATATGATCAATGCTTCGCCTCTAGCTTCAAGATACGGCAGTCTGACGGCCCCGGCGCTGATCGCGGTGGCGCAAAGCTGCAAGAATATGATCAGAGCATTGTTGGAAGCTTCAAAGGAGGGACCTGGCGAAGCTGCCGACGATGCTGTGATTGCGTTCTCGCAGCTTTGTGCCAACGCGATCATGCGCTGGGTCTTGCAGCCTGTCGGGTCCAGAGATTGAGCCTCGATCACATGATTACGGCGTTCAACAGACGGGTATGAGTTGGAGTCGAACAATGTATCACCTGGACGTAATTTGTTTTTTTTTTTTTTCAATCTTCGCAAGCAAGAGATATCCCAAGACGATGCTATAGACGTGACTGAATCACACAGTGGCTTTTTCCCACAAGAGAAGAAAACCTCTATGTAATCCAGTCACGTCTGTAGTAATTGATGTATAAACCAATTCACCCACGTTTCTTAAATGTAAATGATAGCCTATACCTGCGCGATAAGAATCAGAATGCCTATGCTAAATTATATAGCTATCCAATGGACGTATCAGGTCGCTCTACTTATTGCTGCAAGACCTAAAATGCCAACTGTGTTTAAAGTTGGAATAGTTATATCCTCTTTCTTCCATTTAGACAGCTCCTTTATTCTTCCTCCATTCAATGTAATTTCCTTTTTGTAGCTTCAAACATCTTCTTCCTTCGTTGAAGAAGCCGTCTAATTTCCCGTATGGGGACACATAGCTTCTTTACTTTGATTAAATACAGCTAGAGGGTGTCTCTTTTTCATTGCGACAGCTGTATTATGCACGCCTAAAGAACCTGTATTATGCCCCTCTGCCTTGTCCTTGGCTGCGGATGGTTCCTTCAAGCCTACGCGTACAAGTCTGATCAAATATGGCTCAAGGTTTATGAATACTCTCCCATACAGCTATTTCTCTCATTCATTGTGTTGAGATGTCGGATCTGGCATCTTCTATTGCTCCTTTTCACTTTATACCCGAAATCTAGTCAGGATAGCTATGAACCTCATCACTTTATGGAACCCTTTCTTTTATTATAATCTGTCACTTAGTATTTAAGTCTATATTGCTTAATTACTAGTCTTTTATCCTAGGTAGAGTATTATAGCCTTGTTCGAAAGCTCTCTGTGGCCTGGCCAGATTGCGTCTTGCTCTCTCTGAGACCGCTGAAGAATTCGAGTATCTCGGTAGTCTGGTTTAAGCTTCGAATGGTACTAATGTAGCCATCCGGTCTGACGACAATAAAGCAGCCTTCCTCTTTGTCAATTCCGCATCTTTCATACACCTTGCCGTGACCATCGTGATAGCTGTTATCATCTGCATAGATAGTCCAATAATCCCAACCATCCTCACTCCACGGACGGAAACTAGGATGCAGATCCATGAGTTCAACCTCTTCTCGTTTCGAGCTATGGATTGTCAAAATCTCTAGCCCAGAGGATGCCGGCAGATATTTCTCAAACCAGTCTCCAAGAATATTGAGGCGAGACAGGGAAGCCCCGTTGGACAAGTTGCCAGCAAAAACGAGGATTCTGAACCGGCCATCACAGGTGAGTCGATGGTACAACTTCACCGGAACACCGTCGGACTGATTGACAATTTGGAAGTCTGGTAGACGAACACCCTCTACCAATCGAGTAGCAAGGGGTGATGTGCTCTCGAGGTTGTTACCTTTCACAATCAATGATTCCGGATATTGGATTTGCGTTCCAGTGGTGAATCTCTGGCCAGCGAGATATGCCTCAAGAAACTCCTCATGTGTGATATCTGACCGGGCAAACGTCTCTAGGTACTCTCTATCGAAGTCTATGAGCGCCTGAGCCACTGGTTTCCTTTCGATTGGATATGTGGAGAGGAGGTCTCTGCTTGCGTTTTGCTCTAGACAGTACCGCAATTTCCATCCAATATTATATCCATCCTGGAGGCTGGTATTCATCCCTTGGCCGGCCTTTGGCGAGTGGGTGTGTACCGCATCACCGACTAGGAATACCCTTTCATCTTGGGAGAACCTGTCTGCTACCCGTTGGCCAACGCAGTAGGAGGACCACCATGGTACCCTGGCAGCCTCCAGTTTGTATGGGGCCATGATGATCTGAGCCGCCTCGATAATGTTTTCAGCCGTGATGTCTTTGACGTTGATGGAGGTATGCCTGCTCCCACCGTCCATGCTGATGTAGAAGCGCACCATTTTAGACTCCCGAGGAACACCCATTACTGTCCCGTTGACAGAGTGAACGACAAACACCTTGCGGATATCGGGGAAGTCGGTCTTGGGCACCATATTAAGTACACCTAAATAATATCAGCTTCCATTCTAGAATACGAAAATTGTTACGCAAATAGGGGACGCACCCCATGTTGAGTCTGTCAGATCTCCAGTGAGTTTGATGCCCAGTTGCTTGCGTAGCCAACTGTGGGCGCCATCGCCACCGACTATGTACTTAACAGCGAGTGTTTCCGTAATACCCGTATTTATATTCTCAAGAGAGATGGTAATAGGATATGCGGCTGAATCATCTTTTTGAGACTTATCGATTTTCAAGCCCACAGGCTGAGTGTTCCAGCTGATTTGAACGCTCCCGTGCTTGTTGAGATTTTCAACCATCAAACCTTCCACCCTTCCTTTGAATCATTAGCCGATGTTTTGGGCACTTTGAGGCTGAAAACTGTACCTTGGTCGAGACATACCTCCCTCGGCTTCATGAGCTCCTCGACCCGGTCCGGAATTGTCATGGTGCGTTGAATAGTGCCATTCTCATCAGGGTTCCACAGAACAATCTCCTCGACACGCTGAGATTCACTGAACACGGCATCTCCGATTCCTAGACTGTCCAGAACCTCGATCGATATGCTCTTGATCCCGTCTGCTTTGCCAACGTGGTCCGGGCCCGGCTTCTTGTCGACGATGCGTACAGCTAGATCGCTGCCATTGAAGCAGTTGGCCGCAGTAAGACTCGTCGACGCATGGAAGTCAGTACCAACATCTCAGTTCATTGTATGCGTGCGTACCTACCCCGCTGGGCCCGCTCCTACAATAAGCACGTCAATGTGTTTGACCATGGTGGATACTATTGTATTGCTTCATTCATTACTCAACTCAATAGAGTGCTCACAATACGACTCATTACAAGCTCTAAAGGTTATCCAGGCCTCCACATATGTTATTTGCTTCAGAAAAATGCTCTTGCAGAGCTACCAACCCATCCGGTCGTGGCTGGTCGGTGGTTCGGGCCGAAGCCATCACCAGCCGATCTCACTCACCTCCGAATGTCAGCACATTTGCTGCTTACTTGTCAGGCAGGCGGTCATTCGGTTACTTGTCTCCAAAGAAACCCTGTTCATTTCTACTCGCGGTTCTACTATGCATGCAGCAGATATGCATGATTATGCGAGGGGAATAGCGGTAAAATCCACTGTCCCGAGCACGTAATCTATCGAAGAACAAAGCCTGGCCAAGTCAGGCCATCTTACTCATTGGCCGGGCAGATCACTTCTCCGAATTCAGGTGCAAAGGAGAACCCTGGCCATCGGCCGCAGAAATGCCCATGGGTAGTGCATGCGATATGCAGGGCCAGTGAGCTCCTGGATTCGGTAGACAGTACTTTTGATAGAGCCACGCGTGCACAGGGAGTCTCACCCGCACGACTTGGCCTTCTCCTCAAGCAGTAGACATTGTGTCTCCTTCTCTGAATGCCGCTGTTGCCAATCACACTCACTTTGAGTGAACCTCAAGTTATCTCAAATGGCTTCAGCAGAGGAAGTAGCTCTCGGTGACGAGCGCAAACGTGCTATTCTGGACCGCCAGCTGCACGGCCTTGCGACAGAAGACAAGGACGTAAATATATTCCAATATTTCACGACCTTGGACAAAGTAATTTTGTTTGTAAGCTCGGTGTGCGCCGTTCTTGCCGGTGCCCTGAATCCTCTTGTTCCTGTAGGCGAATACTCCATTCCACTCCACGCCCCCCGCGTCTCTGTTTAGAAACTTACCGCCGTCTCAGGTCATTTATGGGCTCCTGGTAGGGGCGTTTAATGGATTCGAGATAGGCACAGTCAGTGCAGACGAGTTGCGCTCCAAGATATCGACCTTCAGCCTCTACTATGTGTATCTGAGCATCGCACTCTTCGTCTTCACCTATGTGGCTACCGTGGGATACTATTTCTCCGGGGAGCGTTTTGCGCGAGCCCTGCGAAATGCGTACCTGTCGGCGGTGATGCGCCAGAATCTGGCCTTTTTCGACCTCCTCGGGCCAGGCGAGATCACGAACCGCATCATGTCTGACATGGGGACCATTCAAGAGGCCGTGACGAGCAAGCTGGCGGTGCTGCTGACAGCCATTGCGACATTCTGTGCTGCGTATGTTGTAGCGTTCATCATGTACTGGAAGACGGC